TTCATATTATATTTCTAATAATTTGTTTGCTATCATGACCATCATTGACATTACTTCTGCTAACACATATATAAATCAAATAATATACATCAAATGCAAGCCCAAATCTTGCAATTACATTAATAACTAACATCTATTATTTACTATGTGCCAAGAACTGTCCTAAGCAATTTAAATCTATTAATATATTTAATATAAATATATAACATATTTCCATTTGCTGAATTTATTTAAACAAACCAATTTAGAAATGTCATAGAATTAAACACAACTTGACATGTAAACATACTGTCATGTTCCTGAAACAGACGATACCTGATAAAAGTTAATAATTGCTTGTTGGAAAGCTGTCCATAAATAAGGCTAGTCTTCAGCAAAACTAAAAATATTTTGTTTCTTTAGCTTTTCTAGTATGACAATGCAATACTATCAAACTATAATCAAATATAATAAAGACAACATTGGATGGATCCATCAGTACCACTGGTTACAGCTGTTAAAACTGTTTAGTTCTTGGAGACACATAAAAACAATTAAGCCAAACACATCAAATAATTTTCATGGCTTAAAAAAAAATCGCAATTCACTGAGTGATGTTAATTATGGTTGTGGTCAAAACTTTTGGTAAAGGCTATTTACAGTGTGCATGGCTGAGCACGCACTATTTATAAAGATACTTGCCAAAAAAAGATGTGGTACATATATACAATGGAATATTCAGCCATAAAAAGGAACGAAATTGGGTCATTTGTAGAGACGTGGATGGATCTAGAGACTGTGGTACAGGGTGAAGTAAGTCAGAAAGAGAAAAACAAATATCGTATATTAACACATATATGTGGAATCTAGAAAAATGGTACAGATGAACCGGTTTGTAGGGCATAAATTGAGACACAGATGCAGAGAACAAACATATGGACACCAAGGGGGGAAAGCGGGGGTTGGGGGGTAGTGGTGGTGGGATGAATTGGGCAATTGGGATTGACATATATACACTAATATGTGTAAAATGGATAACTAATAAGAACCTGCTGTATAAAAATAAATTTTTAAAAGAAAAAAGATACTTGCCGATTTGTTATGAGATATATATATCTATTATAACACATAAATACGTAACATACATTTTACATATATATGTATATATCCCCTTTTAATAACTTTATGAGGAAAGTATTTTCCCCAACCTGCAGATGGGGAAACTGAGGACATATAGGTTAAACAACTTCCCCTAAGTTATACTAGCAAGTGTGGTACCAGTATGTGAATCCACGTAGATTCATAACTTAAACTCCTAATTATTTCACTACACTGACTTTCAACTGTGTATGTCTATAAAATTTCACATTTGAGTTTGTCTCATTTTCTTAACTGAGTTTCTGTCACTCTGGGTTGGAAATGTATCACTGTTAGGAACTAAGTTAACATGTACCTTTCTCAGGTCATTGCTTATAAAACTACTGGCCAGCTCTTCTTTCTTTGTGGGGGAAGAAATTTCTTGATATGCTATTATATTTTTCATTTTAACACTAAAAGGCAATTCAGGATAAGGTTTTAAAAAGTATCAATTTAATACTGAATATTTAGAAATATGGTACACACAGACACCACAGTAATATAAAATGCATACAATTATCAACTATTTTATGAAAACTTAACATGGATGGCTGACATCTTCCAACAGATAAAACTCTAGACAAAGGTACCAGATATATTTGAGTTTTCATTTTAAATATGATTTAGTCATGCAATTAGGTTTTTAAAAAAATAAATATGACAAATATATGGATTTCTGAAGTATAAACTGACATACAAATCTATATATTTTCATATTTTTCATTAAAGCATCCTTAAAGAAGCATTCTGTAACATGAAGTTGAGAGCTCAAATTAGATGAAAGGCATGAGGTTTTAATAGAACTGAGTAATTCACATACCAAACATCTACATAAAAGTAAAGACAAAATTGCAAACATATTTGCTTTATCCTCCAAGTCATCAACTTCATAAAATTACTTACTGGAATAATTATTATAAGATAAAATTCCCAGTTCTGAATGTTAGTAAGGACACACATACAGGAGCAATATGAGAAAAAGTTTCTTTTGTAAAACAGCAAGAACTAAAACTACATCCCCTTATTAGTACATAAACCTATGATGAGCTTTCTTTTTCAAACTTACAGATGCTCACAACTGTGAAACACAGGTTAGTGAATTGGGCTAAAATGTCCCTACCCTCCATTTCCCCCAAATGGCAGCTTCAAAGGAAAAACTATCCATTGACTTTTTCACCTCAACAGCTTGAATAAAATTTATATTATGAATTTAAAGAGAAAAAATAATCACCTCACACATAAGCAAACTTGATGGAACTTAAGATGGAATAAATACTAGGTATCAGAAGAGCATATTCCTTAATGGAAGTTAAAACATCAAAATTAATTGGATTATGTCACTAATTTAAAAGTTAACACAGGAGAGCTAAGAGGATTTTCTTGAACGAATTTAGAACAGTGGTCCCTAACCCTGACTACAAATTAGAGAGCCTTTGGAAAAACTGAAGCATGGCTCTACCCATAAGAAATTCAGATTTAATTGTTGTAGGGTGGGGTCTAGATGATTCTAATATGAAATGAGGGTTGAGAAACAACTGATTTGGAAAAGTTATTGATTACTCAGGGTGAATTTGATTTAAATAAATTATTCAAAATATGAGCACTTCCTACATGATAGGCACTGTTCTAAGTGCTAATGTGGAGAAAATTCTTTTTTCTATAAAAATCATTGGATATTAATATATCTTTTATCTTTTGAATAGTTACATAATTTTATTAAATTATTACTCAAAGCTTTTATTACAGTGTGCTGTCATAAAAGATTTCCTTCTACTTTTTTGAACTATCCTCAGTTGATATTATAACAGAATAGATCAAACTCAAACTTCTTCTCAAGATATATGTAGAGAATGTAACAATAACAGTTTCATTTTTCAAGTCATGGTATATGAGGTATTCTCCACCTTATATCTGGAGTCACAAAGCTATAATTTAAAAACTGAAATCAGGTATTGCTTTAATGAATCAAAAATGTACTGCCATTGATGTCAGTGCTTGCTTTATATTGCCTAAAAAATAATCTATGACAGCGCCTCAGAGAACCTAGTAAGAGTAGGTCTTTAATACAGACCATGTTTCTTATGACCTATTTATAAAACATCCCTTTAAGAAAAAAGTTACAGGAATATGGGTTTTGAAACATAATTAGAAATTCATTATTTCAAAGGAACAGAAATATAGTTTTTGAAATGCTACATAATTAGAAATTAGTTACTATCCCAAGACGATAGCTTGAGCTTTAACATTTTAAATTAAAGCCAACTTTATTAGGTATTATAAAAATGCATTTTAACTCATGAAAAAAGTCAGATTTAATAAATTTGATTTGTATCTACTCTTCAAACTAACATTTTTCAGGTTTAAATTTGCTAAAACCAACTGATTAATTTATTAATCATATACTAGTCTAATTATCTTTTTTCTAGCTGGACAACAGGCCAAAACTGACGAAATTTTGGTTCAACCATAATATATGCATGTATAGAAAAATGCAATAGCAATTTATTTTCCATACTTGATGGACTTAAAACAGCATTAAATTTTTTTTTTTTTTTTTTTTTTTTTTTTGCTGTACGCGGGCCTCTCACTGTTGCAGCCTCTCCCGTTGCGGAGCACAGGCTCCGGACACGCAGGCTCAGCGGCCATGGCTCAGGGGGCTAGCCGCTCCGCGGCATGTGGGATCTTCCCAGACCGGGGCACGAACCCGTGTCCCCTGCATCAGCAGGCAGACTCTCAACCACTGCGCCACCAGGGAAGCCCCAACAGCGTTAAGTTTTTTGTGGAAGCTCAGTAGTCAAAATAAATACTTAATAAAAATATACACCATAAGATATCAAGAACTTAGTGTTTAAAAATAAACTTTGTCACATTGTTTTGCCTTCAGTTAAACAGAACTCAATTTAGGTACCTAAGGTATCTAAGAATAATTAAGGTATGTTTTTGGAAACAAAATTAAAATTCAAGTAACACTAGAAAGATAACACTAAGATGAAAGAGAAACTTACTATGTTTTAGCTCAAAAGTTTAATCAAGTTATAGCTACTGGGACTTCTCAATATGACTATGACCCTCATAAACAGGAATAGTTTGGGAAACAAAAGTCAAAGAGTCATGATTATGTGGTTCATGCTGTGAAACCCTCAGTACGTAAAAAAATGAAAATACAGTATATATGAGCACCATCAGAAATGTGTGTGCGTATATGTATTTAAAACTTTACCTGATTAAAAATTGCCATTTAGAGTGAAGGACAAGCACTCAGTTACGAAAATACATTCTTAAGCTAACATGTCATATGACTTATTTTAAAATGTTTAATCTGGCGTTCCTTCTAAAAATCAAAAAAAGAATACAACATAAAGAAAGCCAGCCAGCATTCTTTTGTAGTGCAAAGTCCCTTGGAAATAGAAGGTTACTGAAGAAAAAGAATGTGTTCAATAAGTGTTTTCAAATCCATAGTCAAATTCCAATATTTAAAGGAAAAATGAAGTTAACTAATAAATATGAATTCACAGAATAAACCAGCACATGTTGGATTTGCCCCCATGGGATTACCATTCAGGCCTCAGATTATTTTTAACTGAGGGTAATCAATGTTATTCTGCTGAAAGAATCTTCCTTCTATAAGAAAATATACAAATTTCCCACCTGTAATTTCTGCTATAGTCACCAAAACTCTAAAAACTACTGTCATATATAATACATACCCTGGGGTAATGAAAGGGTCTTTAATGAAAATCTTATTTTGATCCTACGTAGAGGCAGCTTATGATAGACTGTTAGTATCCTTGCTATTTTTCAAAGCTCTCAGTATAAGTAATCACATGATATAGACTGAAGTTCTTTGAAACCACTGTCACGTGATAAAGGGTAATGCTATTCACCATTTAAAATACGTTCAATCTCTTCTACTCTTTTTAAAGCAGCAACTCTTTTCTTCTCAATTTCTTTGATTTCTTTTGTTGTTTTGTGGGGGGTTTCTTTGTCTGTATTTTTTCCTAACTGTTTGTTGGATTTCAACTGACTTTTATTATCACTTGTTTTTATTATCTGTATGGGTCTGGGTTTACTTTTGATTTCTTTTTCATTTTCAGTTGGAATTTTGTCTCCTTCTATACCTGAAGTCTTACCAGCTGGGAATACTGGCTGTTCTACAAAACTAGATGAAGAAATTTTATCCCTGACTATATTCAAATGGCGTTGAATATATTCTTCATGTGGTGCTAATGCCAATGTTTCAACCAGGCATCTTTCAGCTTTTAATAAGTCCTTCTCTTCAAAATAAACAACACAAAGATTGTGTTTTCCTTGCACATTGCTTGGATCCATCTCCAAAATCTTTTCAAAACATTTTTTTGCTCCAAGTATATCTTTCTTTTGATTCATCAGAATGTCTCCTTTTAAAATGAGACCTTTGATATGATCAGGATAGTATCTGAGTAACTCTTCCAAGATTGGCAAAGCCATTAATTCCTTTGCAGTCTGAGAATACAGGAGAGCCAGATTAAACAGAGCACTTCTGAAATCGGCTTGTAATTTTATGGCTTTCTTCATCCACATCTCTGCTTCAGTGTCCTTTTTGTCATCCATGGCAAGCATTCCCAGATTGAAATAACCATTAGCATCTAGTGGCTCCTCATTTACATAGCTTAGAAGTCGTTTTCTAGCTTCAGGTCTGAGTTTAACCTCACCTAAGAATTTAAAAAGAAAAAAAATTATACTATGAGCAAATGAATAAGTCTGAGGAACAAAGCCACTTGCAAGTATTTATCTAGATTACAAAGAGACAGCATCAAAACAATTAATTGCTGTGCCTAAATTAAAAAGCAGAAAGAAAAAATCTCAAAGTTTTCATAGGAAAGATGTATATGAAGCACTGAAATGGTAGCTCATTTCCTTTCCTTTAAAACAGTAAAAGTGCCCCAAAAACTAAAAGGGGAGCCAAAGCAATCTTGAGGGGAAAAAAACGGAGCTGGAGGAATCAGACTCCCTGACTTCAGACTATATTACAAAGCCACAGTAATCAAGACAATATGGTACTGTCACAAACACAGAAATATAGATCAGTGGAACAGGATAGAAAGCTGAGAGATAAACCCACACATATACGGTCAACTAATCTACAACAAAGGAGGCAAGGATAAAAAATGGCGAAAAGACAGTCTCTTCAATAAGTGGTGCTGGGAAAACTGGACAGCTACACATAAAAGAATGAAATTAGAACACTCCCTAACACCATACACAAGAATAAACTCAAAATGGATTAGAGATCTAAATGTAAGACCGGACATGATAAAACTCTTAGAGGAAAACACAGGAAGAACACTCTTTGACATAAATCACAGCAAGATCTTTTTTTGACCCACCTCCTAGAGTAATGGAAATACAACCAAAAATAAACAGATGGGACCTACTGAAACTTAAAAGCTTTTACACAGCAAAGGAAACTATATACAAAATGAAAAGACAACCCTCAGAATGGGAGAAAATATTTGCCAATGAATCAACAGATAAAGGATTAATCTCCAAAATATATAAATAGCTCATGCAGCTCAATATTAAAAAAAAAAACCCAATCAAAAAATGGGCAGAAGACCTAAATAGATATCTCTCCAAAGAAGACATACAGATGGCCAAGAGGCACATGAAAAGCTGCTCAACATCACAAATTATTAGAGAAATGCAAATCAAAACTACAATGAGGTATCATCTCACACCGGTTAGAATGGGCATTATCAGAAAATCTACAAACAACAAATGCTGGAGAGGGTGTGCAGAAAAGGGAAGCCTCTTGCACTGTTGGTGGGAATGTAAATTAATACAGCCACTATGGAGAACAGTATGGAGGTTCCTTAAAAAACTAAAAATAGAATTACCATGTGACCCAGCAATCCCACTACTGGGCATTTACCCAGAGAAAACCATAATTCAGAAAGACACATGTGCCCCAGTGTTCACTGCACCACTATTTACAATAGCCAGGTCATGGAAGCAACCTAAATGCCCATCAACCGGCAAATGGATAAAGAAGATGTGCTACATATATAAAATGGAATATTACTCAGCCATAAAAAGGAATGAAATTGGGTCATTTGTAGAGATGTGGATGGACCTAGAGACTGATACAGAGTGAAGTAAGTCAGAAAGAGAAAAACAAATATCGTATATTAACACATATATGTGGAATCTAGAAAAATGGTACAGATGAACCGGTTTGCAAGGCAGAAATAGAGACAGAGATGTAGAGAAAAATGTATGGACACCAAGGGGGGCAAGTTGGGGGTTGGTGGTTGTGGGATGAATTGGGAGATTGGGATTGACATGTATAAAATAGATAACTAATAAGAACCTGCTGTATAAAATATAAATTTAAAAAAAACACGAAAACATATAAACAAACAAAAAAACAAACTAAAAGGGATGAAATATCTCCTGATAGTTTAGATTCTAACTGGGAGTAGACGAAGAATAGAGAATTAAGAGGAAGAGGCATGGGATTTGCCAACAAAAACAAATGTTCAATCTTGATTCTGTTAATTTTATGCACTAAACAAATTATTAACTTGTCTGGGTTAACCTACTGAATTTTCTAATAATTACATGAGATATATAAAAAATGCTCAGTAAATAGTAACTATGACTGGATAAACAAAATGTTCTAGTCTTATTAAATCAGATATTTTCTGTATGTTACTTAAAATTTTTTAGTACTTTTCAAAGGTAAAAATACACCATTATATATAAAGCCTATGTCCAATGTCTCACTACACATAAATCAGGTTTTAGGAAACAAATATTTTATTGAGATAATTTCTATTGCAAATAAATACAAAAAAATTCAATTTCTAAAACTACACACCCCAGGGTGCAATCTTGTGTCAGATAATGGGCACCTTTCATGATTACTAAGGTTAGCTAACTTTACAAAAACATTAGTTTCCTAAACTTAGCTTTTTTGAATAACAGACATAAAGATCTTCCTCTATTCTTTTATGTGACAATATGATAAATAAAGAAAATGTGAAATAAATCAGTAGGCTTAAGTTCTTGTCTTGGACTAGTTACTAACCTAGCCATATAAAGTTAGGGTAGTTATTACATCTGTTTGGTCCTGACTCTCTAATCTACAAAGCAGATGACTGGCAAAAACAAACTCAAAGGCCCTCTTTAGCTATAAAATATGATTCTTACATTTTTTGCAAAAGTTTTATAAAAGTATCTAACAATTGAGATTTTTCCAAACATAAAAATTAAGATTATAAATTATATATATTGCCTTCTGAAGCCGTACTAAAATATATCAAAGATCCTGATTTATTGTGATGAATAATTTAGTTTTGCTAAATTTATAGAAAATATAGGAAATTATAATAACGTCTCAGAAAACAGTAAAACGATACAAAATGATATCAAAAGTATTTGGACTTATAAATCAAGAGAAAATAGAATACTGTTTTGTCTAAAACATATAATGCTCTTGGCTCCCTAGAAATAATTACCTAAAAATTTTTACAAATTCAGATTATTTGAATAGTATGATATTTATACATAAGATATATTTCCATGAATAAAATGACAAAATAGATAAATATGGTATTGCTTAATAGACTGTCTGAAAAATCAGTTTTAACATATACCAGAAGAACTAACAATTAGTATTGTCATATATGTTAAGGCTAATACTTGAAAAGTTTACTTCAAGTATTTTAAATATTCTTCTTATAAATTATTTATGCAGTTTTGATGTAAACCATCCATTCATAAAATGTTTGCTGGGGGTAAGATTAGGTTTTATTATATTTCAAACTAGAATATGTTTAAATATAGAAATATTTTGAAAAAACATACCTGATTCTTGCATTAATATAGCAGAATTGAATAACGCTAGCTTATGCTTTGGATTTAGTTCTAAAGCATGATTAAAGTTTTTTAGGGCTTCATTTGGTTCTTTAAGTTCAATATGAACAATCGCCAAGTTGTACCAAAGATCTGCATTGTTTTTGTCCAGCTCTAGTGCTTTAAGATATGCTTCTTTTGCTTTGACAGGTTTATTCATTTTTAAAAGCAATTCTCCTCTGTGGAAAAATCAAACACAAGCTTTACTTACATTACTGTGTCAGTCTATAGATACTATTTTTCACAAGTTTTAAGCTTTTCCACATATTCACAGCTTTCCTTTTAACTTAGGTTTTTAAAATTTTCTTTTAAAAATAAAAACTGTCCTTAAACCTGAACACATTAGTTTAGCAAATTTGGCTTGATACGTTTTCAAATATTTTTAAAGAAGGAAAGAGCATGCCTGACGCTAGAGAGTAAGATGTCGGGAGGTATCAAAGAAAGGGGAACAGAGAAAATATACTCTTTGAATATATCTTGAAAAACAGCAGACTAGTCTACATCAGAAAAATGATAGCAACTAGAGTGGGAGATTAATTTGTCAGATGAAGTAACAGCATTTGAAGAAGGAATATAAATACAGTAGTGATGGGGAAATTCCAGTATTCAAATCTGTTAGCAATGTCTCACTATACAAAAAGAAGAACATTAGAAATTGTTTACCCCTTAAAATTACTTAGTTTTCTTCGATGTATTCTTATAAAATGACCATTCATTAAAAAGAAAAGGAATTTAAAAAGCCGATCTGGTAGGATGGAAGGGCAATAGTGCCACCTGTAGATACTTTTGAGGAACACATCTGAAACTAATGATCACAGTTTGAAAATCATTTTAGAAATCATTCTAATATGGTTACATTTTCTGTTACAGAGCTTAAAAAAGTCATTTTTACATATGTGCAAATCAGTTTAAGTACTGAAATGAGTTACTTTTATTATAATACTACTCTTTCTTGAAGTATTAGCATAGGCATGAAATCAAATAAACTAATATTCCCAATTTCTAGAATAAGTGTCCAAAATGTGATTTTTTTTTTTGCGTTACACGGGCCTCTCACTGTTGTGGCCTCTCCCGTCGCGGAGCACAGGCTCCGGACGCGCAGGCTCAGCGGCCATGGCTCATGGGCGCAGCAGCTCCGCGGCATGTGGGATCTTCCCGGACCGGGGCACGAACCCGTGTCCCCTGCATCGGCAGGCGGACTCTCAACCACTGCGCCACCAGGGAAGCCCCAAAATGTGATTTCTTTAAATGCAGAGATTATTAATTCTTTATAAATTAACATATGACACGTTTTATTTATAGAAACAACCCCAGTAAACTTAGTGAATTTCAGCAAGTACTAGATAAGGCTGAACAAAGACAGCTTCCAGCTATGAACGGATTTCATTTCAAAAACTTAAATTCTGAATGCATTTTCCCCATATAAACAATGTGACAAATTATAATTAGGTGTCTGGAGCACGCTGCAAAACAAAGTTTAACATAAAATTTTCCTCAGGTACAACACAAATGATAAGACTTACATGAGAAAATATATCAACTTCTAATATCAAATTCTAATATTACAAAAATTTTTTTACTGGCAACTAAAAAAGTTTCTTTGTAGTAACAATAACCAGTCAATTCTCAGTATTAATTTAAGAAAGCTCTTGAGAGTTTGATATTATATAATTATTTCTTAATTAATTTTATATATAATGATTTCTTAATTATACAATGATTTCTTAATTATTCTATAATAATTAAGAATAACTTCTTGTAAAAATAATTATTTTGTAATAATTAAGAATTATAAAAGGTAAATTTCAGCTGTTTTAAATAAAAGTGAATTTGTAATGAGAAGCAAATGAAATTAAAGAGGAGCTTTTCCTACCCTTCCTTTTGTATAAATAAACCTAAGTTTGCTATTATAAGTTATGGACTTCCTTGTCAATTTAAAATGAAATCAATTAAATTTGTTAGTCTAAAACAGGCTGTATTTCTATGCTCTTGGTTGCTAACTAAGATTTACTAGAAGAAGAAAAAAAAGCCAAATTAGTCAAAATAGCTTAAAAGTATATGCAGGTGCAGCTTTAATCTTCTATAGTGAAAGCCTAAAGCGAACTACAACACCTGCTAATGTAAGCCTGCTTGAAGTCGGGTCTCATGCTTATTGCTTGTCGGTACAGCTGATCCGCTTCTTCCAGTCGGGACTCATTTGCTCGTATCAGGTTGGCCAGATTAATGTAAACATTTAAGTGGTTAGGTGCAATTCTGGCTGCATATTTTTTACCAGGAATAATCTGTTAAAAAAAGGGGTTTTTATAATTTGACATTTCAGTACCAAATAAAATCTGAAGTAAGTAGTCCTAGTGTTTTATTTAAAATTTACGTAGAACATAAAAAGACACACTGCAATACTAAAATAATACATAAAAAATGTGAAATAATCTGCAGTATCCACAAAATGTAAGTAAAATAATTAATGTTTAGTAGCAATGAAGGGTTGTATTTTTCCATTCATGCCAGCTCAACAGATTACTGTTAGATTTTTATATATGTATTATTTTATGAAGTCATAGAAATCAGAACTTCTAGAGGCTAAGGTCCCTTAGTATGTTTGAGTCAGACCAGGAATAGAACTTGGATCTTTTCTCTCAGTCTACTGTATTTGTTACACTATGTCAGCTTTCATGTTGTCAGCAAAATATTTACTGGTTGTGATAACAGGGTAGTTAATTTTACTTCAGAGCTATAGTAAACCCTCACTTGTTTGGTGGAGTTAGGAAATAAAATTCTCTAATTAACTGATTATTCAGGTTAAGTAAAGGTTATTATATATAATATATATGAACCCAAATTCTCAATGAACATAATAAATTATATCTGATAAAAATCTTTATTGAACAGAATTTAACTTTAGGATCTTAGGACTGAAATAATTCTTAATGTATCATGTGGTCCAACTCTATTTTTAAAACATTTAGCAAACTGTCAAATCATTTCAATATTACTACTGTTACTAATACAGTATTAATAATATAAACTACAATTGAGAAAACTGTAGCCCAGGGTAAACTATCTTTGCAGATTACACACAGCTAGCTGGCCAAGGGCAGTATCAGATTTTCTAACTTTGACTTTGTATTGCGGATATCCAAGAAATCTTGTACTTGTGACATTATAGCAAATGATGGGCACAGGACAGCAACAGAGATGTATCCACTCATTTTATCACTTTGTTTTCTTCATTTATTTCTTGATAGGAGTAATGTTGAATTTAGTGCTTACTGCACATAAATAAAATTCTTTTCATTTAAAGTCACTTAACTCATAAATAACTTGTAATCAAAAATATCTAAAATTCATAATATCATAATTTGGTTTTCACAGACTATAAATTTTAAGTGAGCTATGAAAGTGAATGTAATCTTTTATAACACTTACAGTAATAGATGGTTCACTGGACAACTTACTTTTAATATCAACAAATTGAAGAGATAAAGATTTTCCATTTGGATAATTCTATTCAATATGGACATCTAGCAGACATGACACAATAGAAATAATTTATGACTACTTACTTGAGGCATCAGCGACTTAGCTGTCATATAAGATTCTTCAGCTGCTTTGGTTCTATTTAAATTTTTATAAGTTCTTCCTACATTCATGTGGGCACCAATATCATCTAAAATTAAAAAAAAATCATTTGTTGGCAAATACACTAAATAGCATTCAATGTAAACTACTAAGAAGACATGTTTCTAGAAACAAACACACTAAAGCAAAAGAATGTAAAAGGAGGCAATAGGTCCTGCTTCCTCCTTAAAGCTCTTCTAACACAACTTATTATAACTTCTGAGCAAGGCTACACTAGAAAATTATTAAATAAAGTACCATAAGAACAGAAAATACACATATGACATGAAAAAACTATTTGAATGGCTCCTGGAAGGGTTAAGATATGAGAGGGGAGAAATAAAGGTAATGATTAAATTTACATCTTTTTTTTTCCACTATATTTTACTATCCTATACTAAGGCTTACTCTTATTTCCTTAATCTCATAGCTTTGGAATTCACTCAAAAGCAAAAAGGATTTACAAGTGAAAAGGATCACCATGATTACTAGAATTATTTCAAGTATTATAAATAACAAAAATGAATCCATGGTGGCATAGGGGCAAAGAGCCTGTGAAAAAAACTTTGTGACTTTGTTTTTAAAAATTTTTGTGAATGTGGTTGGAGTGCAAGTTATCTGGATTCTATAATATTACTTAAGATGCAGCAGCCCAGATCTCTTAAATGATGATACATTCCCATATAATTTAATTAAAACTTTTAAAAAGGTTGTCTTAATATCAAATCCTCAGCAAATTTATTCAGGGATAGAAAAATATAAAATTAAAATAAAAAAGATATGAGGGTTCATTGTACACTAGTTTTAAGATATACTTCCCAGTAAATATTTCAAAGCTTTGGAATAAAGATAGAAAGAAGGGAGATCTTAAATTAGACAAATTTTACTCAACATGAATCTCTAACAGACATGACAAGGTTTCAAATTATGATTACTACTTGCCTGTGACACCAATGATGATTTTGCAGTTGTGGAATAGTTCTCTGCCTGCAACTCCCAGGACACATAGGGGCCAAGCATATATATTTTAGGCATTCCTCTAGGAGGAGAGTAACAGTCCTAAGATCTTGCTAAATTATGTTTCAGGTTGGCAATTGTGTGCACTGTACAAAAACTGTTAGATGCCATATGGGTTTAGTTAGAGAACTAGGGGACAGGATTGGGGGAAAGAGGTTGATTTCTTGTTTTTAGACATATTGCTGAATCTCATGGGGTCTCAGGAGGCGGTCAAGCCAAAAAAAAAAAAAGAAAAGAAGAGGAAAAAAGGCCCAATACTGGCAGCAATTCAGAATACTTGTGTAGCTTTGAAAAATTCAGATACCTTACCCTACCCAGCTCAATCAAAACAGAATCTTCAGGAATAGGATTGCAAAAATGTTTTAAAATAGTTTCAGAGGCAATTCTGATGTAGATCCAAGGTTGAAATACATTGCATTACCAAGAGTATATAGAGTTTTTGCTCTTATACAGCTCTTTAAAAAAAAACTTTTTTATTGAAGTATAGTTGAATTACAGCATTGTGTTAATTACTGCTGTACAGCAAAGTGACTCAGTTATACATATATACATTCTTTTTCCTATTCTTTTCCATTATGGTTTATCACAGGATATCGAATATAGTTCCCTGTGCTATATACAATAGGACCTTGTTTATCTAAGCTCTTTTTTTTTAAACATCAGATAAATCTATACCATTTACTATAGAGATCAGAAAGTTACCCAGAAAAAACTAAGGGTATATAGAACCTGAAAAAATTATTTATACAGTAAAAATTTAATCTAAGAAAAGAACAAACTGAAAGTTTAAGTAAATAAAAGTGAAATTATGTCAGGTAAGTATTTAAAATGTTACTGAAAAGAGCCCCAACCAACCTTAGAAAAGAGGTTATCCATTAGGATGAAAGACAAGGCAAATTACTATCTACTAATCAGGTTCTTAGAACTATGGCAAGGAGATACTCTCATCAGTGAAGACTACAGACACTAGAGTAAGGCACCCTTACTTTCTCAAAGAACAAAGATAGCAATCAGACAGCATTTAGCGTCAAAAAAACCTACACAACACAGCTAATAAAATGAAATAATTTTTAAAATAAGTTACAAAGTTTAAGATTCTAGGAGGAAACAGCATTACTGGTAAGGTAAATCTATATTCGAAAAAAAAAAAGGTAAGAAAGCAGGCAAGATATAAAAATCAATTACATTTGAATGACTAAAAAGCTACAGAATTTCAAAAAACAATCTTGCTATTATGAGTGCACTATCCAAACCAACAGCAGCCTGAATCTAGCAGTCTGTCTTTAATTCAATGTAAACGAGGACTGGCAAATATCAGGCAACTCTGTGCCTAATAATTCTTCAGCCACCAACAGTGAAGTTAAGTATTGTCACACTGATGGCCCAGGCATATATGTTGCTTTCCAGTTATTTCCTACTCACAAATTTGTCAATTTATTTAAAAAGATACATTTATAAATATCTGGAAACTCCTGAAAACTCTAAAAATCATTTCTACCTTGATGGCATCAAAGTTGAACTAGAAATCCATGATTATTTTCGTTTCAAAGATTTGAAGTTAGATAAAAATGAAATCATTGATTTTAAGGCAAAAATTAACCTTGGAGAAATTTGGTGTTTCTCGAGAAAAACCTACCCTCGTCTTATAAAGGTGTTTACGGAAACTGTAATTCAATTTACAAAAATTTTATCTTGTGAATTGATTTTTTAAAAAAACTTGTAACCTTGATAAAAGAGGCAGGAATGTACAGTGGAGAAAGGACAGCCTCTTCAATAAGTGATGCTGGGAAAACTGGACAGGTACATGTAAAAGTATGAGACTAGATCACTCCCTAACACCATACACAAAAATAAGCTCAAAATGGATTAAAGACCTAAATGTAAGGCCAGAAACTATCAAACTCTTAGAGGAAAACATAGGTAGAACACTCTATGACATAAATCACAGCAAGATCCTTTTTGACCCACCTCCCAGAGAAATGGAAATAAAAACAAAAATAAACAAATGGGACCTAATAAAACTTCAAAGCTTTTGCACAGCAAAGGAAACCATAAACAAGACCAAAAGACAACCCTCAGAATGGGAGAAAATATTTGCAAATGAAGCAACCAACAAAGGATTAATCTCCAAAATTTATAAGCAGCTCATCCAACTCAGTAACAAAAAAGCAACCAACCCAATCCAAAAATGGGCAGAAGACCTAAATAGACATTTCTCCAAAGAAGATATACAGACTGCCAACAAACACATGAAAGAATGCCCAACTTCATTAATCATTAGAGAAATGCAAATCAAAACTACAATGAGATATCATCTCACACCAGTCAGAATGGCCATCATCAAAAAATCTAGAAACAATAAATGCTGGAGAGGGTGTGGAGAAAAGGGAACCCTCTTGCACTGTTGGTGGGAATGTAAATTGATACAGCCACTGTGGAGAACAGTATGGAGGTTCCTTAAAAAACTACAAATAGAACTACAGTATGACCCAGCAATCCCACTACTGGGCATATACCCTGAGAAAACCATAATTCAAAAAGAGTCATGTACCACAATGTTCACTGCAGCTCTATTTACAATAGCCCAGAGATGGAAACAACCTAAGTGCCCATCGTCGGATGAATGGATGAAGAAGATGTGGCACATATATACAATGGAATATTACTCAGCCATAAAAAGAAATGAAATTGAGCTATTTGTAATGAGGTGGATAGACCTAGAGTCTGTCATACAGAGTGAAGCAAGTCAGAAAGAGAAAGACAAATACCGTATGCTAACACATATATATGGAATTTAAGAAAAAAAAAATGTCATGAAGAACCTAGGGGTAAGACAGGAATAAAGACACAGACCTACGAGAGAATGGACTTGAGGATATGGGGAGGGGGAAGGGTAAGCTGTGACAAAGCGAGAGAGAGGCATGGACATATATACACTACCAAACATAAGGTAGATAGCTAGTGGGAAGCAGCCGCATAGCACAGGGAGATCAGCTCGGTGCTTTGTGACCACCTGGAGGGGTGGGATAGGGAGGGTGGGAGGGAGGGAGACGCAAGAGGGAAGAGATATGGGAACACATGTATACGTATAACTGATTCACTTTGTTATAAAGCAGAAACTAACACACCATTGTAAAGCAATTATACTCCAATAAAGTTGTAAAAAAAATAATAAAAATAAAACAAACAAAAAAAACTTGTAACCCAAAACAAACAAAAGACTGTAATCAACTGTTTGTCTAACATGTCATTCATGTTGCCTGGTCAGCGACCATTGTATAGTTTATATTCTTATTCTGGCTAAGCAAAAAAAGCCTTCAGACTGAATGTCTTTTTTTTTTTTTAAGCTACTTTAAATGTTAAGAATCTCTGCTCTCTGTGATCCTCTACTGTTCTAGGATTTTAAATACCATCTATATGCTTGTTACTTCAAATTTTTATCTCTAGTCCTGACCATTCCCCTTATCTTCAGACTTATAGTTCTATCTCCATCTGTATATCTAACAGGGACAAAAAAGACTCTTGATTTCCTTCCCTACATGTCGTTTTAGCTGTCAAATCTATCTGTGAAGAACACAGCTGAAAAACACAGAATGAGCCAAGAAGTCTCTGAATGACAAATTCAATTTTTCCAAGATTATGTACTTTTTCATAATAAATTGTAATAAAATGATTTGCCTGTTTTCCTAGCCCACTGTTTATTAGAGACTGCAATTTTGAAAGTATGGTAGGTAAGTCATACTAACTAAAGGAGATAGGTTCAAGTAAGTATCTTTTTTTTTTTTTTGCGGTATGCGGGCCTCTCACTGTCGTGGTCTCTCCCGTTGCGGAGCACAGGCTCCGGATATGCTGGCTCAGCGGCCATGGCTCACGGGCCCAGCCGCTCCGCGGCATGTGGGATCTTCCCGGACTGGGGCACGAACCCGTGTCCCCTGCATCGGCAGGCGGACTCTCAACCACTGCGCCACCAGGGAAGCCCCAAGTAAGTATCTTAAAAACAGCCAAAAGTGACAACTGACAACGAGAGGAAAAATGATTTTAAACCAAACATCCACAATCACACCCACCCACCAACACGATTTCATTTTGTCCTGACAATACAATGAGATAGAAATTACTGTCCCAACTTAGAAATGGGAAAGATAGGGCTGAAGGGGCCTAAATATCATCTTCTAAGTCTCCAGGTCCCTGTGTGTCTGACATAAAGATGACGTTGCTTCTCTTTTTAAAAACTCCCAGAATGAACCTAAAAGGCTTCAGAAAGCAATGAATTGAAACTGCCACAGTTAGTGACCACTGACTGTGTGTTAAGACTATGCTAGATGACGCAGGGACTATGAAGATGAATCAGATGTTCATGCTGCCCCTAGGAAGCTCCTCAGTTTAAATACATAGATATTTTAAATAAATATTTTAAACGAACATTTAAATAACAAATATCACAGAAAAGATACAAAAGTTGTAAGGAGTCTTAAAGAGGAGAAATATTTGCTTCTAACTGGAAAGATAGGAGGGTTTTTTTGTTTTGTTTAGAAAAGAAGCCATGTGAGATGGGTTGCAAAAGATCGGTAGGGTGTGGTAGGTGGATGGGAAGGAAAGGAGAAGGGAGGAATTCTAGGCTCAAGAAAGAACACGAAAAAATGCAAAGAGGTGAGGAAGCTCATGACATGTATCCTAGATTTCAAGAAAAACTAAACTACATGAAGAGCCAGGAGAGATAAAATTGGAAAGATAGCTAGACCATCAGTTATATATTTCTACAACATTCTCTAACAGGAATTTGGCTTTGCCTTGGGGACACCGGCAGCTTTTCCAAGTGGTGACTGCGGTCTTTTTCTTATCTCTTGCAACACTGGGCCTGGAGTTAGGTGTCCTCCTTGATCCTTACCACTTCCAGACCTCTGTAATTCCTTAAAATCACTCAACTCTGAATTTCAGATCATTAAACTCTATTATCCACTACCCTTCCTTATTGCAGTCACCGATCTCATATATAGCTCCTGGTTCCTTGTTCTTTCCAACATCACACAGTTGTCAAAATTCTTAGTAATTTCAAAATCTATATAGATGTATCTTCCAATAGTTGCCTTGATATCCTTTCTTCCAATAATTTTCACCTCCATTCTCCTTTAACTAGTCAGTTCAATGGCCACAGTCATATCTAGTCGAAATACAGGGGGCACTGCCCACCACTCCCCACCCCTCCAAGTATATTTAGAAATGTGTGTGTGGGGATGTACTTTTTGGTCATCATACTGAATGGAAAGTAATGATTGTACTTGGTAGGTGGTGGCCACGTTTGGTACATATCCTGGAACACTGAAAACTAAAAATGCTCTAGCTAGACCTTACTCAGACACCAACAATTTTTCAGATCTATAAACAACTGATCTGATCACCTTTTCCTCATCTTTCATCCTCTCTCACATCCCTTCATAACCAGCTTAGGTTGTGTCTCAATATTCCCTTATCCCTTTGTTTAGTAATACACATCTGACAAAATTCTAATCCTGTTTAACCAAATTCTCCATGCCTGTACCACTGCACTTATAAAGTAGTGGGAGAAAACTTTTAACCACATCAACTGGTTTAATTGTAATTAAGTATTGCTAAGCTCAAGTAGGGTGTTAGAGCTGCTTGACAGTCACACCATATTTTCCTACTCTACACATTTTCCTAGATCTTTGTTTCTCAACACGTGATTCATGGACTAAGTATCACCTAGGAACTTACTAGAAATGCAGAAATTCAAGCCCTACTCTAAATCTCTATATATCAGAACATGAACCATATGATCTCCAGGTGATTTACAGGTACATTAAAGTTTGTGAAGCTATGTCCTAGATGATTACTTCAGTCCCTCTCCTGGTCTTAGATTTCCAGCACTTCCTCTCCATTCCCCACACTCTACTATTGATTTTACTTTCTGTTTCACTGAGAAAACAGAAGCAAACAAAGGATAACTTCCAGAAGCTATTCATCTATTATTCACCTGCCTATATCATGTCTCTACACTCTGCTTTCCCTGTTAACATAGGTTAACTATTGGTTCAGTTGACTGAATGAAATCCTCACCCTGAGCACTAGATCCTATTTATCTATTCCCATCTGTTCAAGGACATTGACCCAGTACTTCGGTTCCCCACCTTGAATTATTATTTTTCCCACCTTCAATGGATTAGTCACACACATGCTTTGTTTCTCTCACCTTAAAACAAAACCCCTAAAATTCCCAAAAAACAAAAAAAAAAACATCATCCTACTATCCTCTCTTGACCCCATACTCGGCACCAACATTTCTTATCAACACCCTTTAAAAGAGTTTTTAGTATCAACTGTCTCCAATTATTCTTCTCCCACTCTCTTAAACTCACTATCAAGCTTTTGCATCTATCCCTTCACTAAAACTGCTCATCAATGCCACCCAACAACTCTGTTTAAAAAAGACTCCTTAAATGTCTGATATAAATAGCCCTAACATAAAATCCATTTCAGAAATAAGCCAGCACCCAACACTGTCCCATTCCAGTCAGTTGGAATAAAGCTTGAAAATAAACTCTACCTATTTTCCACAAATATAATCATGTTTTTAAAAAGAAAATAAACTACCACAATAGCTTTATTAGTTAATAATGCTTACCTGGCTGAACATGGGTAGCCTGTAAGAAGTATTTCAAAGCTCTCTCAAAGTTCTTTTCATTTTCCAGAGCATGACCCACATTATTCCATAATTTGGCATTATTTTTATTTACCTTAAATATGGAAGTACAGATAGAAATTAGTTAAATTAAAAAAAATGAGTCTAATTAACACAGATTTTGTTTGGTATACTATTAGGAATGGAGTACTCCATAGAAATGTCCATGAACAGATGAAGTGGGTAAAAAGGTACAAACTTCTAGCTTTAAGATAAGTAAGGTCTGAGGATGTAATGTACAGCATGGTGACTATAGTTAACAATACTGTAACTATATGAGGTAATGGATGTTAACTTATTCTGGTAGTCATTTTATACACACACACACACACACATGCATATAATCATTATATTGTACACCTTAAAGACAAAGTTATATGTCAATTATATCTCAATAAAACTGGAAAATAATCATTCCGATTTCTTCCAGAAAAAAAATGTGTATATATATGTGTCTATGTATGTATACATACAACTCCAATTAACATGGATATCTGTTTGGTATATTATTAGGAATGGAGTGTTCCATGGAGATAAGGAAGAAGTCAAAAGAACACTGCTTCATGAAGTTTACCCTCTCCTCCCTTTCAACATTAAAATACTAAAACCACAGTTTATCTACTTTACATGTTAAAATTTTACTAAAACTTTTATTTCATCAAAACATAGAACTGTTTGAAAACTCCTGCTCTATTATTTATGTTCTTTTGGGAAAGACAGAATTTGAACAAGTGAATATGTTTAAACACTGCACTGATGACTTATTTTGAGGCTCGACATAAAGCTATTTATGTAGTCTATTATGGTAATGGGAACCCTGGCGAGCACAGAAACAGCCAAAAGGAAGTTAAGAATTCAGAGATTTCAATTGAAGACAGGGAGCATCTGAAAAAAAAATCACTGCTTATAACTTTTGCAGAAAACAAATTTTGTGACTTATTCTCATTTATGCTGCCCATTCTATAAAAATGCAGTATCACTCCTTTCTGTCAGTTCCTATCTTTCCTACAGTATTATAACCATTGGTTATTCTCCATATGGAAGGGCACCATTTTTTGCCATGTATTTTATTTCATTCAATCTAAGATGCCATCAATTATAAGGCTCACCATTATTTTAGGTACCATTAAGAAAGAAAAAAGGTCACTAATTAATTGTAAAATGCCTTTTACTGTAAGATTTATTCTGATTTCAGAGATGTTAAAAGGTTTAAATAAATAAAAAGGTACACCTTAAGAACCAATGAAACAAAAGCATTCATATTTAAACATTTTATCATTTGAGTGTCTAACAACGGTATAGCATTTGTGCAATTATTCACATATGCTCTAGACATACACCTAAGCACTAGTCAGGGCACTAGTTATGGTATATATTATACAAAGAAAAAATTCTTTTTATTAATTTTGTGGTGAAGTACTTAACATTGACAGTTAACTGCCTAGTTAAAAGTAAAGTTAAAACACTGTATCAGGGATGGCTATAAGAAATAATTGATGACATATTCTGAATAATACTTTACCTTCAAGGCTGACATAAACAGCGTATATTCAGACTCCCAATCCCAATTTCTATGGAGTGTTTTTAAGGCATGAGTGAGTATCACCATAGACAGACAAACCCAGGATAACTTTTTTAATACACTATTTAAGAAAAAAAAAAGCAGAACAAAAGAAACATTGTCTACATCACCAAAACAGAGGTAAGAAATATGCTAAATATCTCTAAATATAATGTTTGAATTTATTCTAAAGATTAGGGATTGTTCTAATAATCATCCAACTTGAGAGGGAACAACACCGAAAAAATTAAATATTATGAACACTTATACACTTATACTTCACTCTTCAATTACATTAAATATTTCAATATTTGCCTTTAGTTCAAAAATTTTGTTTTGATTTAATGACAAAAAATTGATAAAACCAATTTTTAATTGTGAATTTTTATATTTAGAGTTCTTTTGTACCATTTACCTATAACTTCCATATTAGTAGTGTTTATAAAGGGTCAATCTTATCCCCGGCTATATTTAAAAACATTATTGTTTTACAATAAACACCACAGATTATCACGGTATTCTTGAAGAATTTTACACTTTAAAGTAGAATTATTTATTAAAAGTCATAGTAAAATTAACTCTATGAAATAGATGTAAATTACTTATATAGCTTTAGGTTAATCACTTGGGACTGAATTTCTCAGTTAAAAATGATGGTTATGCAGAGATCAGTTCAAGATGGCAGAGTAGAAGGATGTGCTCTCACCCCCTCTTGTGAGAACACTGGAATCACAACTAACTGCTGAACAATCACCAACAGGAAGACACTGGAAGTCACCAAAAAAGATACCCCATATCCAAAGACAAATGAGAAGCCAATGAGACAGTGGGGGGGGGGGCGCGATCACAATAAAATCAAATCCCATAACTGCTGGGTAGGTGACTCACAAACTGGAGAATACGTATACCACAGAAGTCCACCCACTGGAGAGAAGGTTCTAAGCCCCACGTCAGGCTTCCCAACCTGGGGATCCAGCAACGGGAAAGGAATTCCTAGAGCATCAGACTTTGAAGGTTAGTGGGATTTGACTGAAGGACTCCGACACGACTGAGGGAAACAGACACTCTACTCTTGGAGGGCACACACAAAGTAGTGTATGCACTGGGACACAGGGGAAGGAGGAGTGACCCCATAGGAGACTGAACCAGACCTATCTGCTAGTGCTGGAGGGTCTCCTGCAGAGGCAGGGTGAGGCTGTGGCTCACCATGAGGACAAGGACACTGGCAGCAGAAGTTCTGGGAAGTACCCCTTGGCGGGAGACCTCCATTACCGCCATTACCCCACCAAAGAGCTGAGTAGGCTCCAGTGTTGGGTGGCCTCAGGCCAAACAACCAACAGGGAGGAAACCCAGCACCACCCATCAGTAGAGAAGCAGATTAAAGTTTTACTGAACTCTACCCATCACCAGCCTCTCCCATCAGGAAACTTGCAAAGCCTCTGAGACAGCCTCATCCACCAGAAGCAAGAAAAACTACAATCCTACAGCCTGTGGAACAAAAACCACATTCACAGAAAGATAGACAAAATGAAAAGGCAGAGGGCTATGTACCAGATGAAGGAACAAGATAAAACCCCAGAAAAACAACTAAATGAAGTGGAGATAGGCAACCTTCCAGAAAAAGAATTCAGAATAATGATAGTGAAGATGATCCAGGACCTCGGAAAAAGAATGGAGGCAAAGATCGAGAAGATGCAAGAAATGTTTAACAAAGACCTAGAAGAATTAAAGAACAAGCAAACAGAGATGAACAATACAATAACTGAAATGAAAACTACACTAGAAGGAATCAATAGCAGAATAACTGAGGCAGAAGTACGGATAAGTGACCTGGAAGACAGAATGGTGGAATTCACTGCTGTGGAGCAGAATAAAGAAAAAGGAATGAAAAGAAATGAAGACAGCCTAAGAGACCTCTGGGACAACATTAAACACAACAACATTCGCATTACAGGGGTGCCAGAAGGAGAAGAGAGAGAGAAGGGACCTGAGAAAGTATTTGAAGAGATTATAGTCGAAAAATTCCCTAACATGGGAAAGAAAATAGCCACCCAAGTCCAGGAAGTGCAGAGAGTCCCATACAGGATAAACCCAAGGAGACACAAGACGAGAGACATATTAATCAAATTGGCAAAAATTAAAGACAAAGAAAAATTACTGAAAGCAGCAAGGGAAAAACAACAAATAACATACAAGGGAACTCCCATAAGTTTAAGAGCTGATTTCTGAGCAGAAACTCTACAAGCCAGAGGGGAGTGGCATGATATACTTAAAGTGATGAAAGGGAAAAACCTACAACCAAGATTACTCTACCCAGCAAGGATCTCATTCAGATTCCATGGAGAAATCAAAAGCTTTACAGACAAGCAATGGCTAAGAGAACTCAGCACCACCAAACCAGCTCTACAACAAATGCTAAAGGAACTTCTCTAAGTGGGAAACACAAGAGAAGAAAAGGACCAACAAAAACAAACCCCCCAAAATTAAGAAAATGGTAATAGGAAAATACATATCGATAATTATCTTAAACGTGAATGGATTTAATGCTCCACCCAAAAGACATAGGCCTGCTGAATGGATACAAAAACAAGACCCATATATATGCCGTCTACAAGAGACCCACTTCAGACCTAGGGACACACACAGACTGAAAGTGAGGGGATGGAAAAAGATATTCCATGTAAATGGAAATCAAAAGAAAGCTGGAGTAGCAATACTCATATCAGACAAAATACTTTAAAATGAAGAATGTTACAAGAGGCAAGGAAGGACACCACATAATGATCAAGGGACGAATCCAAGAAGAAGATATAACAATTAGAAATATACATGCACCCAACATAGGAGCACCTCAATACATAAGGAAACTGCTAACAGCTATAAAAGAGGAAATCAACAGTAACACAGTAATAGAGGGGGACTTTAACACCTCACTTCACCAATGGACAGATCATCCAAACAAAATTAATAAGGAAACACAAGCTTTAAATGACACAATAGACCAGACAGATTTAATTGATATTTATAGGACATTCCATCCAAAAGCAGCAGATTACACATTCTTCTCAAGTGTGCATGGAACATTCTCCAGGATAGATCACATCTTGGGTCACAAATCAAGCCTCAGTAAATTTAAGAAAATTGAAATCATATCAAGCATGTTTTCTCACGACAGCGTTATGAGATTAGAAACGAATTACAGGGGAAAAAAACGTAAAAAACACAAACACATGGAGGCCAAACAATACGTTACTATATAACCAAGAGATCACTGAAGAAATCAAAGAGGAAATCAAAAAATAACTAGAGTCAAATGACAATGAAAACAGGATGACCCAAAAACTACAGGATGCAGCAAAAGCTGTCTAAGAGGGAAGTTTATAGCAATGCAAGCCTACCTCAAGAAACAAGAAAAATCTCAAATAAATAATCTAACCTTACACTTAAAGGAACTAGAGAAAGAAGAACAAACAAAATCCAAACTTAGCAGAAGGAAAGAAATCATAAAGACCAGAGCAGAAATAAATGAAATAGAAACAAAGAAAACAATAGCAAAGATCAATAAAGCTAAATCTGGTTCTTTGAGAAGATAAACAAAATTGATAAACCATTAGCCAGACTCATCAAGAAAAGGAGGGAGGGCTTCCCAGGTGGCGCAGTGGTTGAGAGTCCACCTGCCGATGCAAGGGACACGGGTTCGTGCCCCAGTCCGGGAAGATCCCACATGCCGTGGAGCGGCTGGGCCCGTGAGCCATGGCCGCTGAGCCTGGGCGTCCGCAGCCTGTGCTCCGCAACAGGAGAGGCCACAACAGTGAGAGGCCCATGTACCGCAAAAAAAAAAGAAAAAGAGGGAGAGGACTCAAATCAATAAAATTAGACATGAAATAGGAGAAGTTACAACAGACACCACAGAAATACAAAGCATCCTACGAGACAACTACAAGCAACTCTATGCCAATAAAATGGACAACCTGGAAGAAATGGACAAATTCATAGAAAGGTATAACCTTCCAAGACTGAACCAGGAAGAAATAGAAAATATGAACAGACCAATCACAAGTAATAAAATTGAAACTGTGATTAAAAATCTTCCAACAAACAGAAGTCCAGGACCAGATGGCTTCACAGGTGAATTCTATCAAACATTTAGAGAAGAGCTAACACCCAACCTTCTCAAACTCTTCCAAAAGATTGCAGAGGAAGGAACACTGCCAAACTCATTCTATGAGGCCACCATCACCCTGATACCAAAACCAAAGATACTACTAAAAAAGAAAATTACGGGCCAATATCACTGATGAATATAAATGCAAAAACCTTCAACAAAATACTAGCAAACAAAATCCAACAACACATTAAAAGGATCACACACCATGATCAAGTGGGATATATCCCAGAGATGCAAGGATTCTTCAATATATGCAAATCAATCAATGTGATACACCATATTAACAAATTGAAGAAAACCATATGATCATCTCAATAGATGTAGAAAAAGCATTTGACAAAATTCAACACCCCATTTATGATAAAAACTCTCCAGAAAGTGGGCACAGAGGGAACCTACCTCAACATCATAAAGGCCATATACGACAAACCCACAGCAAACATCATTCTCAATGGTGAAAACCTGAAAGCATTTCCTGCAAGACCAGGAACAAGACAAGGATGTCCCCTCTCACCACTATATTCAACATAGTTTTGGAAGTCCTAGCCACGGCAATCAGAGAAGAAAAAGAATAAAAGGAATACAAATTGGAAAAGACGAAGTAAAACTGTCACTGTTTGCAGATGACATGATACTATACATACAGAATCCTAAAGATGCCACCAGAAAACTACAAGAGCTAATCAATGAATTTGGTAAAGTTGCAGGACACAAAATTAATGCACAGAAATCTCTTGTATTCTGATACACTAATGATGAAAAATCTGAAAGAGAAATTAAGGAAACAATCCCATTTACCACTGCAACAAAAAGAATACAACACCTAGGAATAAACCTACCTAGGGAGACAAAAGACTCATATTCAGAAGACTATAAGACACTGATGAAAGAAATTAAAGATGATACCAACAGATGGAGAGATATACCATGTTCTTGGATTGGAAGAATCAATATTGTGAAAATGACTATACTATCCAAAGCAATCTACAGATTCAATGCAATCCCTATCAAATTACCATTGGCATTTTTTACTAGAACTAGAACAAAAAAATCTTAAAATTTATATGGAGACACAAAAGATGCTGAATAGCCACAGCACTCCTGAGGGAAAAAAACAGAGCTGGAGGAATCAGACTCCCTGACTTCAGACTATACTACAAAGCTACAGTAATCAAGACAATATGGTTATGGCACAAAAACAGAAATATAGATCAATGGAACAGGACAGAAAGCCCAGAGATAAATCCACGCACCTAGGGTCAACTAATCTATGACAAAGGATGCAAGAATATACAATGGAGAAAAGACAGCCTCTTCAATAAGTGGTGCTGGGAAAACTGGACAGCTACATGTAAAAGAGTGAAATTAGAACACTCCCTAACACCATACACAAAAATAAACTCAAAATGGATTAGAGGGCTTCCCTGGTGGCGCAGTGGTTGAGAGTCCGCCTGCGATGCAGGGGACACAGGTTCATGGCCCGGTCCAGAAGGATCCCACATGCTGCAGAGTGGCTGGGCCTGTGAGCCATGGCCGCTGAGCCTGCGTGTCCGGAGCCTGTGCTCCACGACAGGAGAGGCCACAACAGTGAGAGGCCCGCAAAAAAAAAAAAAAAAAATGGATTCGAGACCTAAATGTGAGACCGGACACTATAAAACTCTTAGAGGAAAACATAGGAAGAACACTCTTTGTCATAAATCACAGCAAGATGTTTTTTGATCCACCTCCTAGAGTAATGGCAATAAAAACAACAATAAACAAATGGGACCTAATGAAACTTCAAAGCTTTTGCACAGCAAAGGAAACCATAAACAAGATGCACATACAACCCTCAAAATGGGAGAAAATATTTGCAAATGAATCAACGGACAAAGGATTAATCTCCAGAATATATAAACAGTTCATGCAGCTCAATATTAAAAAACCAAACAACCCAATCCAAAAATGGGCAGAACACCTAAATAGACATTTCTCCAAAAAAGACATACAGATGGCCAAGAAGCACATGAAAAGCTGTTCAACATCACAAATTATTAGAGAAATGCAAATCAAAACTACAATGAGGTATCACCGCACACCAGTTAGAATGGGCATCATCAGAAAAGCTAAAAACAAGAAATGCTGGAGAGGGTGTGGAGAAAAGGGAACCCTCTTGCACTGTTGTTGGGAATGTAAATTGATACAGCCACTATGGAGAACAGTATGGAGATTCCTTAAAAAACTAAAAATAGAACTAACATATGACCCAGCAATCCCACTACTGGGCATATACCCTGAGGAAACCATAATTCAACAAGAGACATGTACCAAAATGTTCATTGCAGCTCTATTTACACTGGCCAGGACATGGAAGCAACCTAAGTGTCCATCAACAGATGAATGGATAAAGAAGATGTGGCACATATATACAATGGAATACTACTCAGCCATAAAAAGAAACGAAATTGGGTTATTTGTAGTGAGGTGGATGGACCTAGAGTCTGTTATACAGAGTGAAATAAGTCAGAAAGAGAAAAACAAATACCATACGCTAACACATATATATGGAATCTAAGAAAAAAAATGGTCATGAAGAACCTAGTGGCAAGACAGGAAGAAAGACACAGACCTACTAGAGAATGGAGTTGAGGATACGGGCAGGGGGAAGGGTAAGCTGTGACAAAGTGAGAGACTGGCATGGACATATACACTACCAAACGTAAAATAGATAGGTAGTGGCAAGCAGCTGCATAGCACAGGGAGATCAGCTTGGTGCTCTGTGACCACCTAGAGGGATGGGATAGGAGGGTGGGAGGGAGGGAGACGCAAGAGGGAAGAGAAATGGGAACTTATGTATATGTATAATTGATTCACTTTGTTATAAAGCAGAAACTAACACAGCAATGTGAAGCAATTATACTCCAATAAAGATGTTAAAAAAAACTGAGAAAAATGATTAATTTAACTACTGTATATTAAATTTGCATTAAAACAAAACAAAAAAAAGACGCATGCACCCCAATGTTCACTGCAGCACTATTTACAACAGCTACGTCATGGAAGCAACCTAAATGCCGATCGACAGATGAATGGATAAAGATGTGATACATATATACAATGGAATATTACTCAGCCATAAAAAGGAACGAAATTGGGTCATATGTAGAGACGTGCATGAATCTAGAGACTGTCATACAGAGTGAGGTAAGTCAGAAAGAGAAAAACAAATATCGTATATTAACGCATATATGTGGAACCTAGAAAAATGGCACAGATGAACCGGTTTGCAGGGCAGAAACTGAGACACAGATATAGAGAACAAACGTATGGAAACCAACAGGGGGTAAACAGTGGGGAGTGGGGATGGGGGATGTGGTGTGATGAATTGGGAGATTGGCGATGACATATATACACTAATATCTATAAACTGGATAACTAATAAGAACCTGCTGTATAAAAAAATAAAATAAAATTCAAAAAAATTTAAATGATGGTTATAATTCAATAATCCCTATGATCTTATTTAGTATTAATAGTATTAATGTTCTCTGAGTCTGTGCTTTTTGTCTCAGTAACAGAGTTCAATTTCTTTCATTTTGATAGATCCACTTAACCAGGATAATAGTGTGTGGATCAGAAGGAACATGGACATTGGAAGTAGTCAGGTGTAAATCTGAATCAAGACTCTGCTGTTGACTAGCTGCATGGTCTTGTGTAATTCAGGTAACTTGTATGAGCTTCAATTTTCAAATATGCAAAATGGAATTAAGGAGTGTCAAGATTAAATGAGAAAAATCTAAAGAGTGTATCCTGGAGTTGGTACGTGATAGGCACTCCAAAATTGGTAGTGAGTATAACTGGATATATGGATAGAAGCTAAGAGAAAAGGTTTGGTAGATGGCATTGAAAATTGTAATCATGGATGAGATCATCCAGGGAGAACATGCAATGTGAGGAAAATGGCTATTAGTAAAACTCTGAGAAATAAAAATTATTTAAAGAGCAGGTGCAGCAGGGAGAATCTGAAAACTGAGCAGAAATGAACAAATGTGGAAGAGAATCAGGACTGAGACTTTTTATACATGCCAGGGAAATAAAATTTAAATAAAAGCATTGACTGGATTTAGCTATGAGAGGAAATTTGTTACATGTTAGTAAAGTGACGTAGAGAGAAGTCAGAATTCTGTGGGTTGAAGGGTGACTGGAAAGTAAGAAAAAGGAGATAGTGACTATTCTGTTCCTTAACTATTGGTTTAAGGTAATTAGGACATGGTGGTTACGATGAAGCAAGAAATTACAGATTGCCTTCTATATGCATTTTACATATATTAACCTGATATAACTCACTTAAGGAAGAAGACTGTTATCTGAGTTCACTGCATATGGAAGTAGCAATGATCACCTGAAACTTTAGTCTCAATAATATTCTATTTTGCATTTGGGTCTGACTGAAAGTTTGTTATGTCTCAGGCTGTAAAATAAAATTATATAAATATGAGGAAGACCACAGGATGAGGTAGGGGTCATGTAGCTTTCCTAACCTGAATTACAGACAATGAGGAGACTGTCAATGTGAAAAACAAGAAGGTATAAAATATGACATAAAAACTAAATAAACATTTTAAATACTTAAATGTATCATACTGAATTCTATAGTTAATAAGCATTAAATGCACTAACATTTTAATTCACCTTTTGTTTGATATTTTCTGCCATCCATGGGCTACCAAAATACAGAACCCCATGCTAGGAACATATAATACTCTCTCAGCAACAACAAATCCAACTGGGAAAAAAAGGTTTGATGCAGGAATAAACGGTAATGCCATTAAACAAAGTGCCTACAAAGAAAAAAAAGACATTTTATTAAATTAAAAAATATATGCACATAAACAGTCAAATCCAAATATTTTATCACTGAATTTGGATAATGTACTGGTGGACCATTTTTAATAATACTATAATGGATACTGATTTAAACATAAAGAAGGATGCTTAAGGATGGTAACAACAAACATGAGGAGGTATGTCAGCAAGGTGGAATGAAGACTTCTTGAATGCTAGAACTTATACCTAAGGCTCATTCAATTATCAATAAATAAAAAATATTTTTTGAAAATATATCTAAAATAAAAAACAGTAATTTTTATATATCTAACTTATGTGCTTTTGGTAAAAATAAATTGAGAGTAAAATATATTAGGTTTTAATAAAACTACAAATTGTAGGTTGATAAAATAGCCAAACATATCAGTTTTTATTATTTTACTACTATCTGTAATACTGGAAATTGATAAGGTACATTTCAGACAAGACAGTAGACTACTTCTATACATTACTTCAGCGTTACTTTGCATAGTATTCTGATGGGTCACATACAATTAACGGAGACTTAGTATATGTATAAAAATAAACCTGGTCCCTTTAAATCAACAGTCTTTTATTCTATAAGAATTTCTAAAATTCTAACGCTGTACACTGTGTTAGAAATAAACATCACAAAATGCTTAGACTTTTTGCCATTTTGAAAATGGGATGGCATATGGTTTCCAATTACAAAGCCATTACAAAAGATAAGACACAAATAACTAGCACACAAATAACTTATGGAAAGAAAAAAGTTGGTTGTCATTAGGACATCTGTTTCTATGGACATCTGCTTCCATATTTCATTACCCTGATTTGTTTTATAGTACCTAATGGAATAAACTTCAGAAGTTTGAGAGTCCTCTAACAGTTTGAGAGGAAGGAATGCCTATTTTATACTTTATTAGTAAAAATCGATGTAGAAATGTAAATACAGTGAAAAGAATACTTTCTCCATGAATCACAAATTAATAACTTATAATAATACAAAAGACTGAATCTGAAGAAAAGCACTACCATCAAATTGCTCAGTATCATATCAACTTATATGTCTGAAATTTTAGTGTTTTCTTTTTAATCAAAAAGGTAAAACATTAAGAGTGCATAATTCACTTTCCACTTCCCAGAAATGCTTGATTTAAAAACAACCAGCTAGCTGTGAAACAGAGATTTGTTTCTAAATACATGATCCTTTAAAAAAAAATATATTCCCTATTAATTCATGGATGCCCTAAGGCAATTTCACCGGAAAAAATTAAAAGTTTTAAATTCAACCAAAGATGCATCACAGACTGATGCGTAGGCTACACAAAAAAGAAAAACCATCTCTCAAAAACATCTGTTTTTTGAATAAGAAATGTCTCAATGATTAACTTATTCAGAAGTTCTAGTATGCTCTCTATTAACGTATGCCAACCAAGTTTACTGTAACGAACATAATATCCTTCTTCCAGTGATGTAAACTCTCCTTAAAAGGAACGAGGGGGCTTCCCTAGGGGCGCAGTGGTTATGAATCTGCCTGCCAATGCAGGGGACATGGGTTCGAGCCCTGGTCCGGGAAGATCCCTCATGCCGCGGAGCAACTAAGCCCGTGCACCACAACTACTGAGCCTGTGCTCTAGAGCCCGCAAAGCCCGCAAACTACTGAGCCCACGTGCCACAACTACTGAAGCCTGCGCACCTAGAGCCCATGCTCTGCAACGAGATGCCATGACAATGAGAAGCCCGGGCACCACAACAAAGAGTAGCCCCTGCTCGCCGCCAACAAGAGAAAGCCCGCGCAAAGCAAAGAAGACCCAACACAGCCAAAAATAAAAACAAATAAGTAAATAAATTAAAAAAAAAAAAAAAAAGGAAGGATGGTAGTGGAATAAGCCAAGAGTTTGGAGGCAAATCTGTTTCACTTCTTGTTATATAACATAAGGAAAACTATTCATATCACCTCGTGACTTCATTTCATTATAAATAAATCAGGGATTAATAACTACTTACTAATATTGTTGAGATACATATGACATCTTATTTAATAAGTGCTTAACGTGGTATCTGGTACTTGAGATACTCCTTTGATCTATGTATCTTGTTCAGAGATCTTCAGAAAATTATCACCATTAAAAAAACAGCATGTTTAGTTTTATACATATTTTCAGATTATTTTCTATTATAGGTTATTACAATATATTGAATATAGTTTCCTGTTGTTTATCTATTTTATGTATAGTAGTTTGTATCTGTTAATCCTATACTCCTAATTTATCCCACCCTTCCCTCCCCTTTCCCTTTGGAAGCCATAAGTTTCTTTTCTATGAAATTAACACAATACTGTAAATCAACTATATTTCAAATTAAAAAAAGTTTAAAAAAAGTATGCTTAGGACTATACTTAAAGCAGTTATACCTAAGGTCACAAGTGTTCCTTTTTTATACATATAAAACATAATTAATGTAATTAATTAATATAAGTATGTTTATTTCATTGGCAATATCCTATTTTTCATTCAGCTTGAACTACACAAATCATTATTTTATTTGCCAAAACTCTGTGTATTTACCCACCCCGCCTTTTTTGCCTTTCTTTTAGTTAGAACCCCGGCTTTGGATGTATTCTACCACATATATGCTTCGTCTTTATTTATGTGAGCAGCAAAAGCACTACTAGAAAGTCCCAAAGCAAAATAGATTAATATCATCATAAACTCGTGATCAACTTCAAATTGATCCTTAAGACTGCTGAGGATTCCTAGGTTTCTTTGGTAGGCTCACTCCCACTCTCTTTGACTATTTTGAATCTTGACTACCTTTCTCAAAATTTTGACCCATGTCACTTTTAGCAGGTGACCACACTTGCAAATTTTCAGAGAAAACTAAAACAATAAAACAAGATTTCCTTCAATTTTCCGCTACTAAACCTACCAACATCCACATTCATGTTCATTTCCATCCTTCCTGTAACCATAAGTGGTGTCTCCATCTATCTCAGGCCAAACCTGAGCTCTATACCTCTAATCTCACTATCAATCATCTCTTCTTTCATTTACTTAATCACTTTCTTATGAACTTTCTACCTATGTTAAAAATGCTCTTGCCTCTCCAACCTTAAAAATCTTCTCTTCTGACAACACATCTTTAAGTTATCTTACCCAATTCATTATGCCCCTTAAGTATAAAACAAGTTCCCACACTCTTAGGAAAAGATTTTTGGAGCCATGGCAACAAGTAATTGGTTGTAACCTCATTTAATCAACATTTCAACTCAATGAATATGTTTTTGTAAGCCAACCCATTAGTGATATAAACATTTCAACTCAATGAATGTTTTTGTAAGCCAACCCATTAGTGATATCTCTTTGTGTCAAAAAGAGACAGCCAACTGAGTGCTCCAATGAAAGTGATTCTACATGCCAACCAAGCAATAGTCTTCCCCCACCATCAACCCACTCCAGACTCTGAAGGTCCATCAATTCCAGATCTCTGTGCTTCCCCCAAGCCCTACAGAAGATCAGCAGTTTATTATACTTGAAGCCCTTGCCTGACTGGCTGTCTTTCCTAAGTTAGGAAATTCAAGCTTGTCTCATCCTTTGAAATATTCAAAGTTAAATCACCCCTACAGGTTACCTACACTAGCAATCTTCACTTCCTCACTGCCTAATCAAATCACTCCACAGAAATAAATTTCATTTACGTAACTAATATACGTAAAAGAGGTCAAATTCAACTGATCTCACTTCTCTACTTGACAGCAGCTGTTAGTGTTAACCATTCTTTCTTGAAACACTTTCCTTTCTGTACATTTCGTGTACCTCCCATTTAGGTTCATTTTCCTTTATATGGTATGTAATGTGGAAGCTTTTCAAGACTTAGATATAGGCTTCTTCTCTTTCATTCTATAAAGCCCCTTCAACTATTTATTGAGGGAAAATTAAGACCAAATACTCTAAGGCATGCATTATGTGTATGAATTAACTTCTGTACACCTAGAACGGTGCCAGCTAGTTACCATCTCTAAGAAATATGACAAAATCCCAGTTGAGAAAGGCTGCTCTATAACCTCTCCATAGGCCTTCTTCTCCACATCCTGGTTTCAATTACTATCTCTACGGCAATTATCAAGTTTCTCTATGGTAATCAATCAAATTTTTACGTGTAGCTCAGTCTTCGCCACTGAACTCCAGACACAAAGTGCTATTCGAAATCTCTATCATATTGTTTTATAGGTACCTCAAACTCAACAGGTCCAAAAAGAATAGTAAATATTCTTTTTTCAAACCCTATATTCTTTCAAATCTCTCTAGAATGCAAGTTCTGTAGAAATGGGGACCCTGTATTTCCTTTTATTATCATATACTCAGTGCCTAAAATGCTACCTGCTACATAGGCTGAAAATCAAAAATTTTTATTGAATGAATAAGTGAATCTAGTGACTGCAGCCAGAAATAATATATTTGCAAAGTATTAAAACCACTTTTTGGCATATAGTAAATGCTCAAGAAAAGTTAAAGATTATTATCTTCTTCCATAATTTAAAGTAAGAGGCAACAGAATTATTATGAGTAAGATGTGAGGGCAGAGTTAAGAAAATTACAAAGAAACAGATCTCAGAAAAACAAGAAAAGACTTTAATCAGAGTTCTCTGAACACAGTAAGAAAAACCTCAGGGAGTAATGAAAGTCTTGCTAATGAAAAATAAAGAGCTATGTATTTCTAGTTGCTTATCTTACCTGACACTCTTCTCTGTGCCAAGAAAACAAAGAAGTATAAAATATGACTCATTTCTTTAAAGAGTGTATAATCTAGTTGGGTAAAGGTAAGAAATATATTAAAAAAAATGATGCTAAAAAGAATGCTTCATGATTTCAGAGTTCCCATCAAATTATGGAAATTCATAATCACTCTTTGTTTCATACGCTGAATGTGCAGCATTAGTCAAATTCTGATATATAATTCTAGGATAACCTAAAATAAGTTCATAAATTAGGATGACATGAACAAAGAAAGACAGTAGTTCTTTAAAGATGCTTTTGATGAATTAAAGGCACTCTTAATTAATAAACTGAATATAATATCACCTAAAAATTTAAGAAACTTTCTTACCATTAAAACAGTCTTGGAGGAATTACCAGGGTATCTGAGACTGAATACTCCCAAAGCCCCCAAAAAGCAAAAAAAAATAAATGTGGCAAGATTTCGAATATCTAGAAATGACTCTATAAGTGGTATTGTTCCCATGGTCCAATCGCAGCAGAGCTCTGAAGGATTTAACAAAAGCCAAGCATTCACAGGAAGGAGGTAGTTAAAAGTTAGCTGCCTTGTAGGAGTTGGGCTTACAGCAGCTGGGTTATCAAACCTGTGTAAAGAATGAAAAAGAAAGTTATTTAAACTAAAACATTTTTTAAACACAAAGTTAATATATAACAGATATAAATAAAGTACTGAAAAATAATAATAAAAGCAATATTCTACATGTAATCTTGTTAAACCGAAGACAAATATTTTTATGGATATTTCAGACTCTTGCCAAAGTTCAAACTGTCTAACCTTTATGAAATGCCTAGTTGAGAGCAATGATATTTATGAAGAACTGTTTGAAGGGCAAGCAGGTGATCTATTTTTAGTTTATTATTATGATTCAGACATGCATTCTATAATATTATGACATTCTGCAGAAGCACTTTCATTAAATTATGACCTTCTGATTAAAAGTCATAAGAAAAGTTTTATAAGATTCATTGTTGCATGTGTTTACGAATGCTTCTGAGAACACTAAGCAATGTTTTCCTACATGAGACGTTTCTTTCACCACTAAGTGCTAATAAAACTTATGCTTCCTAGAAAGAATTACTATGTTTTTCTTTTGTCACGAACAGAAAAAACTATATTACCTATGGGCTTTTCCTCTTTGCTTAGACTTCTAGAAAGCTAAAAACCAAATTCCCAGTACAGAGGAGTAACTGTACCTATGTAACATTTTATTTGTGTTCTACTTAATATAAGCTTATATCCTAGTTTATATAAGCCATGATACATTAAATGTACATTTCATTAGTCTATTTTCTGCATATTAAGTCAAATCATTTTTTTAAAAGTACATTTAAATGAATCATTTCAGATTTTTATTTCTTTAGGCTATGTTCTAAATTGTATTGGCTATATTAACATATAGTCCTTTAAAAACCCTATTTCTCATTTTAAAATGAATAAGCCAATGAAAAATCAACCTCTACTACTTATTTGACTTGGTCTTCTTAAAAATATCAAATGGTTGAGAAAAAGTACACAGTTTTTGAACGAATAATATTTTCTAAATTTTCATATTTGAATATATACATATATGAAAAATACTAAGTCTTGAAACTCAGGACTTGAATTCTCAAAATAATCAACAGAACTGAATACAAAGCTTTTCCCCTGTAATCCACTTTCAGAGTTCATTTTAAAAAATTAACAGTTTATCTAGGATAGGTGATTTAATAATTGAACTGCAGTCAAAGAGTACATGTCAAAGCAAGTCAAATCATATTACAATCAACCTCAAAGGGTAATAGAATAAAATTTATATAACACACACAAATACATACACACACACACATTTTTAAATGCTTACATTTGGAAAATATATATTTATAACATACCCCATACAGTCATCCACACACACATATACAAAACAAATACATTCACACCTATAAACCACATTTTCATATTGTAAAACTAGAGATAGAAAACAGTTGATTCAAATTCTCTGAAAGGAATGATAAACAGAACAAAAACACTGAAACTAGTGAAGAAGGAAATATAAAATATCTATCTACAATTCAATTTATTTCCCATACTATCATGCTTAAATGAGCTGTTTAGCATGGCTAGACTCAGAAATTCTGGAAGTTAAAAAGTAATTATTTTTTAAAGAAAAAAAATGCTGTTAAGAAGGATAAGTATTACACAATGGAATACTACACAGCCATAAAAAACAATGAAATAATGCCATTTGCAGCAGCATGGATAGACCTCGAGATTATCATACTTAGTGAAGTAAGTCAGGCAGAGAAAGACAAGTATCACATGGTATCACTTATATGTGGAATCTAAAATAATGATACAAATGAACTTATTTATAAAACAGAAACAGACTCACAGGCATAGGAAACAAATTTATGGTTACCAAAGGGGAAAAGGTGGGAAAGGGATAAATTAGGAGCCTGGGTTTAACAGATACACACTACTACATATACTGATAAAACAGATAAACAAGGTCCCACTGTATAGCATAGGGAACTATATTCAATACCTTGTAATAACCTATAATGGAAAAAAATCTAAAAAAGAATATATATATATATTTATGTAAAACTGAATTACTTTGCTATACACCAAAAACTAACACATTGTAAATCAACTATATCTCAATTTAAAAAAGAAAAAGGAAAGAGAGAGAGAGAAAAAAAGGATAATTATGTGAAAATCACAAAGAATGTGTTGGGCATAAAAGAAATTATCTGAATAAAATTTATTCTAACCAGGGCCAGAAATGAACTATCATGGATAGCAACATGAACAATATTTTGGGCTTTTGTTTAAAAAAAAAGTTCTTGCATGTAATGTCTGTCACTTAAAACTGAATAGGGAACTAGTCTAAGTTTCCTCTTAAACTTTAGATAAGTAAGGTGAAATGGAATAATGCTAATCTTAGAGCAGGGAAAAAAACGATAAAATTTTTACTGTTAAAATTCAGTAAAACTTTTGCTTCTAGCCTTAAACAACTAAAAAATAGACAATATATATAAAACTTCTTTTTTTTTTTGTGGTACGCGGGCCTCTCACTGTTGCGGCTTCTCCCGTTGCGGAGCACAGGCTCCGGATGCGCAGGCTCAGCGGCCATGGCTCATGGGCCCAGCGGCTCCGTGGCATGTGGGATCTTCCCGGACTGGGGCACGAACCCGCGTCCCCTGCATCGGCAGGCGGACTCTCAACCACTGCGCCACCAGGGAAGCCCTAAAACTTCTTTTAATATACTGAGTATCAGGCAAAGAAGGACAATACCTGATAGGAAAAAAAAAAACAAATGAGGGGAGCCCTACCTGGAGAGATTAGTACCTCAATAGAGTTTTTAGTCTGTGCAGCAAGAGAGAACCTGAGTGGAATCCACTTGGATCTCTGAGTTGAGAAGATAGAGCTGGGAGCCCTAGAAGTCCAGGGGGTTAGAATTAGTGGGCAGAATATCAGAGAGAAGAAAGCTGCTGAGAGAGAACTCAGATCTGTAGAGGATCTCTCTCCAGCTTCCAGTACTACTGAGAACTGATCAGCACACATATGTGGGGAAATACCTAGGGGACAGTGTAGTGGGTTGATTCATGTCTCCCCAAAGTTCATGTCTATCAATAACCTCAGAATGTGACTTTATTTGGAAGTAGGGTCTTTGCCAATGTAATTACAGTTAAGGTGAGGTCATACTGGATGAGGATGGGCCCACTATTCAGTGACTGAGGTCCTTATACAAAGAAGAGAAAATACAGAGAAACAAACATGGAAGAAGGCCAGGTAAAGATGGAGCAGATTACAGTGATGCAGCAACATACCAAGGAATGTCAATACCAGAAGCTAGGAAAGAGGCACAGAACAGATTCTTTCCCAGGGCCTTCAGAAGGAACCAACTATGCCTGACACCTTGATTTTGGACTCTGGCCTCCATCACTGTGAGAGAATAAATTCCTGCTGCTTTAAGCCACTCTGTTTCTGGTAATTTGTTAAATCATATCTAAGAAAACTAATACAGTTAGGAAAATACCTTCTGAAAGGATTAGATAAACATTCACAAATATCAAATACAACTGGGAATAGTTCCTCAGCAGCCAGAGTGGAAATCCTCATAATTCATAGTCTATTGGTAGAGTGGTCAGAAGGGTCTTGTGTCAGCAAGGAAGCAAAATTAGCCCTATCCTAAATGCTACTGTGGTCTCCCAAAACAAAGCTTAAAAGCAAGACTTGAAGATGAAACATTTTTCAAATAACTTACATGCATCCCAGAACAATGGTCTACAATACAGGAATACATTAAGGTAAAGTTCACATATGGCACCTATTAAAAAACTACCAGGCATGTGAAGAAGTAGAAAAATACAATCCATGAGGAGAAAAACTATACAATCTAAATTGACCAACAAATGATACAATTAGTAGATAAAGACATTAAAGTACTGGAACATGCAGAAACATGGAATACGCAAAAAAGGCCCCAAAAGAACTCAAACAGAGATGAAAACAATGTCTGAGATGAAAAATAACTAGAAAAAATTAAGGGCAGATTAGACTATGCAGAAAAAAGATTAGTAAACTTGAAGATACAACAAAAGAAACTATCCAAAATGAAAATGGGGAAAATAGCTTTGGAGGGAAGGGGCATAAACAGAGCATCAGTATGACTTCAAGAAGCCTAAAATACATGTAACTGGAGTCCTACAAGAAGAGTGGAGAGCAAAGTAAAAAATATTTCAAGAAGTAATTTCCAAAATTTATATAAAGTAAGACCTACAGATTCTAAAAAGCTCAATTAACCTAAGCATAAGAAACAAGAAGATAAAATAAACATTAACTGAAAGTTTGTACCTTTTGCCCATCTTCACCCAAACTTCCAAACTTATTTATAAGATAAATAAGTCCTGGGGATGTAATGTACAGCATGATGACTGTAGTTAACAAGACTGTATTGTATATTTGAAAGCTGCTAAGAAAGTAGATCTCAGAAGTTCTCATCAAAAGGAAAAAAAATTTTTGTAATTATGTGTGATGATGGATGTTAACTAAACTTATTATGATAATCATTTGTGTGTGTGTGTGTGTGTGTGTGTGTATAAAACCATTATATTGTACACCTAAAATTAATACAATGCTATATGTCAATTATGTCTCAATTTAAAAAAATATATAAGAAGAGAAACAATGATAAAGAGAAACTATTAAAAGCAGGCATAGAAAAAAAAGATACTACATGCAGAAGCATAAAGATAAGGATAAGATTTCCCATTTAAAATAACACAAGCCAGAGAATACAGAGCAACATTTTTATATTAGTGAATGAAAAACAGTCGATGTAGAATTCTACACTCACGGGAAATATTTTTCAAAAATGAAGGTAAAATAAAGATTTTTTAATATACAAAAGCTTAAAGAATTCATCACCAGCAGTCCTACATGTCAAGAAATGTCAAAGGAAGTCCTTCAGTCACAAGGAAAAATGGTGCCAGATGAAAATCTTGATCTAACAAAGAAATGAAGAACACTAGAAATGGTAACTCTATGGGGTAACATAAAAGAATTTAAAATTTAAATCTCTTCCAAAGATAATTGTTGAAAGCAAAAGTTAACAATGTATTGTCAGATTTACAATGTATACTCAATAAAAATGTATGCAAATAGCACCAAGGCTAAGTTCTTATTTATAATAAGTTTATATATTTACATAAAAATTTATTGTATATATTTGTACTATATATGCTGACATTTATACTATATATACTTGCAATTATAATATGCCTTTCAGATAAACTGTGATAAGCAAAGGACATAAACAAAAAACCCTAAAGCAATCACTAAAAATACACAGCAAAGATATACAGCTAATAAGCCAACAAGGAGCTAAGAACAGAGTATTACAATATACTCAATTCAAAAGAAGAGAGAGAGAAAAAAAGGGAACACAGAACAGACAAGACAGAGAGAAAACGATTAGCAAGATGGTAGATTTACAACAAACTATCAACAGTTGAACCCCCCCATTTAAAAGACAGATTATCTGACCAAACAAAAAAGGAAGACCCAACTATATGCAGCCTACAAGAAATCTACTTTAAATAATAAAGATATAGATAGATTTAATAAGTAAAAGATAAACCATGTAACACGAACAAAAGATAGTTGGAGTGGTTACATTAATATAAGGCAAAATGAATGTCTTAGTAAAGACTACTACTGGAGATGAAGCTCATTTAATAATGATAAAGGGATCAATTCATTAAGAGGACATCACAATCCTAAACACTGATACACTTTATAATAGAGCTTTAAAGAACATGAAGCAAAAACTGATAAAACTGCAAGGCAAAATAGACAAATCTACAGCTATAGTCAGCGATTTCAACATCCTTCTCTCAATAATTAATAAAACAAGTAGACAAAACTCACTAAGGCTATAGAAGACTTAACCAATTTTGGGGGGTCATTATCTTGACTGTGATGTTTTCATGAGTGTACATGTATGTCAAAACCTATTAATTTGTACATTTTATATATATGCAGGTTTTTAAAAAGTATTAATTATACCTCAATAAAGCTGTTAAAAAACCTCAATGTAAATCAAAGACTTTCTGGAACATTTACAATCACTTAAAATGCAAAGTTAAAAAAAAAAAAGATGGAAGAAAACAAAAGAACCAGAATATCATACCTGGTGAATACTGGAAGTTGGGATTGAATAACCTGGACTCTAATCACAACAAGTAATAGTGTACTGAACATCAAAACAATGAGTTTTATTAGTGTCTGCAGCATAGAAAATGGAATACTACCCTTTCCGCGAAGAAACTGTCCAGCAGTAGTACATAATAATGGCAAAGTATACTAGAAAAGAAAAAAAATGTTTAAGTAACAAATAGCACTTTACTGTAATTTTTCAACAATTATCATACTTTCTAAATGCAAGATTAAATAAAAATTGACCAAAATTATAAAACCAACATGGAGCAAATGGTGGAGCTGATAATGAATAAAACTGAGCCCAATAATCTTATCCAATAATTAATTATACTGTACAGTATTACTGTGTGCTTTCCCAAGTTGCTTAATGGTTTCATTATTGAAACTTCCTTAAAAAACTGAAGGTATAATATAAAATGTTGAGAAATTTTCAGTGGGTATGAAGGCAAAACATGCTTGTTTCTTGCAAATTTTTAGTAATCATAATTGGTAAACAGACCAATTTATATAATAATACATTTAGAAAATAAGTTTATTATAATCTGATTCAAATAGGATAAAAGATAGCAACAAGGAAATTTAGATTTCTCCTTACCCCCTGGGCAATAAATACTTCATACACACAGCAAATTCCCACAACTGTTATTCCCTGCTCTTTACACAGTGTTGCAACAGCCACTAAAAACACTGTCAACGCGATAGGAGTCCACACTGCAATTTAAGAACAGAAAAATATAAAAACACACAAAACAATTTTATAATATCATAAAAGGATATTTTAAGTTAGATAACTATTAGACATTACTGAAAAACTTTACTTGTGATTCTATATTCACATTTGTTATTTTCCACTGACATACTTTATATTTTAAAACATATTGAAATGCTGTAATTTTTGCTTTATATATTAAAAAAATCAAGATATATAATTTGAACTAAAAAATTTTTGTGGACAGGAAAATTATCTAACCAAATGCTAACATTTAAAAACAAAGGTAGAGTGGCCAATCTGGAGAAGAGAAACTTACAGGGTTGAGTGTGGTAATTAATGAACTATCAATTTGAAATGAAGATAAATACCTGAAATTATCATAGAGGTACCTATATACTTTATTATATCTGTGAGTAATTAAAAAAAAACTTGAAAGTGAAAAATACTGGGCAAACTACAGTACCATTCTTACTAAAAAAAGACTATAAAAACTAAAACATGTTAGCAATAAGCATTTAAATCAATACTATTCTTTAAAAAATTTGTAACAGAATATTCACAAGTTCTATTTAAGTGGAAAACCTACTTCATCAATTTTAAGTAAATGTCTACTACTCAGTAGTAATTTGATTAAAGAACCATGAATTGTGAGAGTAAATCTGGATCTACTACTAACTTGCTTTGTGATTCTGGGCAACTTTTCTGAGCTTTAGTTTTCTTATTGGCAAATATGATTTCTAATTCTTTTCCAGTTTAAGAAATATATGGTACTTTGATTGTGTAACCTCAGTTTTTATTAAGGACATTAATCAAAGTAAACTCAAATAACTGATTTAAATCCAGGTATAAAAAAGAACAGAATTCATGAATCTAATACATTTTTCTTTTGTCACTGGGCTTCATATAGAAACATCTGTTTTTGAAATCATTTTCAATTTTAAAATACTCTATAGAGTAACATTACCGAAAGGAAAAACAACTGAAAAAAAAAAATGAGAACACTATTGGAAATACTAAGTATTGATATAATAGTATTCCTTCCTCAAAAAAGTATCTCATATTCTAGTTAGGCCTAAACCATCAATATTAATGTAACAGATTATATCAAGGGTTGAACTATCCTGCTAAAGTCACCAAGAAATTCACAGAGCAAAGAAATTAGTAGATGATTATTTACAAAACAAGTTGAACCTAAGTTGGACCTTGAAGGATATACAGGACATGAAAGAATTGGGAAAGGGGTATGTATGAATAAAGGAATAGAGGAGGGAATAAGCTTGGCAAATGAATGATACAGATGATACAGAATGGTATGCCTGAATGGGTATGCACAGATTAAAAACTAGTGGGAAACAATGGCCTTGAAAATAGGTATATTAAACAGTTTATATAACCAGTTTAGCATATTTCATTGCATTTCAATCACCTTATGGGATATGAGGGCAGGTGCAATCATACTCATTTTTAAGATGAGAAAAGAATTTTGAAGGTTTAAAAAGAGTCATGCACAATAAGGAGACCATGACTTTAACTTGGTTCTTCTGATACTAAATTCAGAGCTTCTCACTAATTTGTATTTTCACTCCAAGGAAGAGAAATCAAACAGCTGCCTTCCAAGATGCTGGATTCAATGTAAGCAACTAATAGTTCTAATAAAGGCAAACGTTTTGCTGAAACCAGTCACTTCAGTTCTTTGGTGACTAAATTACTTTATGAACATATACACTTTGATTTTTATAATCAGGTCTCTGTGGCTAAAGTTACCATGTGTGATTTTGTCCAAAACAAGTACCCCTGCTAAATAAGTTGACACTGAAAAAAAAAATACATGTATAAGTGTAGAATCAATTTCAATCATCAAAATCTATTCCAATTTCAAAATATGTTTCCAAGCTGACTTTACATGTGTAAAGGTACACACCTTCAGTAATCATGTATTTAAATAGTTATTTTAAGTATTTACTGCATTTGTAGGGGAGAGAGATAACAATAAATAAATATTTTTTGTCAAATGGTGACCTAAGTATTATAGAGAAAAGCAGAAAGTGAAGGGAAATAAAACGGAGGGGGGAAGATGAGTGGTGCTACTGATGACATTTGAGCAGAAACCTAAAGTAATGAAAAATCAAGTGCAAAGGGCCTAAGATGAATGATGCTTGTGAAAAGGGTATGGGACATGAATAACCCAGAATTTGAAGTGATTAAATAATTACAAATTGAAAATCTTTGCATAGGACAAATACCTTAGATAGAATGGAGAATACAAAGATGATGACAAAACTGTGGTCTCAGGAGTGAAATAATGAAATGTGGCGTACAAAATACCATAGCGGAAAAGAGGACAGAGAGAGGTCCTGAGCAAGTTTCAGTATGTTTTCAATTAGAATTTAAAATATATTATATTCATTCACCTAATCATTTCCTCAACAAATATATACTGAACACTCACTGTATACCAAGAACCATCTAGGAAATGGAGATAAGAAAGTGAGAGAAAGTTACCTACTCTAATGAAGGTTATATCCTATTGTAAGAGAACAATAAATGGGTTAAAAAAATTATGTATTTTTAGATTAAAAATGAGTTTTATGAGAAATGTAGGTTAAAGGGATAGAAAGCAACATGATTTGGTTTTTGTTTTGGTCAAGTGGTAAACTAGCATGACCTGTTGATCTGTTAGCCCCTTTCCCCAAAATCAAGCCTAGAAAGATTAAGTGAGAGGAAAATATGGCTTCTAAGATATTAAAAACAAAAAAAGAGAGAAATTCCTGGGCATTGAAGGTTATCTTAAACATCATGTATGTTTGCATGGGTGTTTCGAGGGACTACATCTAAAGCAGAGAGTGAGAAGATTTTTTTTAAACGTTTTTCCTAGCCAATCCTGACTGCCCTGGGTAAATCATTATTTGCGCCTTTACTGTAGAAATCTGCAGCTACCGTAGGTTGTGGGTGTTCCAGGGATTAAATGAGAATACTTCCGAAGCCCTGCTGGGATAAGGAGTAAGATTTTTTTTAAAGGTACAAAATGACCAACCACTCTTCAGCAGTCTCTTCCACCCACAGACCTTCCATCTAAATGCAGGGGGGTGGTAGACTGGCCTGTTCTTAACGCTGATTCTCTTTAAGAGACTAGAGCAGGTAGTTGGTAGAATGGTAACAATAGTGATCAACAGTGGCCCTGGGGAACCTGGAGATCTCCACCCTGGATTTTAATGAGTCACCAGATGGACAGAGTGGCGCTGGTCTTTCTCTTTATCACTTTCTCACAGTGGTTGATAACTTTCAGAGAACATGTGGCCTGAGCTCACAAGCCAAAATAAGTAGATACCTGAAGGGTACCACAGTTATAAAAGAGAGAGCACAAATATAACAACATACATGACTAATTAAGAATTAACTGAAAAGACTAAGAATTTAAAATAAGTAATTCTAAAGGAAAGATACTGGAGTTATAAAGAATATGAAATCATTAAAAAGGACCAAGTAAAATTATTAAGGATCAAAAATATAATAAAATGAAAGGATATTTTAGTTAGAATGAAGAACTTCTCTAAGAGGGAGACCGTTGAGCTGAGGCCTGATGATGTAAAGAATATAAATGAAACAACTATGTGAAGATCTAAAAGAAGAAAATTCAAGAAAGAGGGTACAACAAGTATAAAGGCCAGTGCTTCACTTGTTTAAGAGTAGCAAGAAGGTCTGCTTGGCTATAGTGAAGTGACTAGGGCAAAAATGCAGGAGACATGTTTAGAGAGATGGGCAGGAGCCTGATCATGGTCTTGAAGTTCACAGTATTTTCTAAGTTTATCATTCATGTATTGCTTAGGATGGTATTTAAAGATGATATTAGTTTGCAATTCTATATTAGCTACTGAACTACCTCTCACTGCATTACAGGCAACAGGAAAAATAGGGACACCACTTCCTATGAGCCAAGTACTGCTTTAAATCCCTTAACATGCTTAACTCAACTAATCCTTCTCAACAGGTAGGGACTATTATTATCTACATTTTATAAAGAAACTAAAGCACAGAGAGGTTATGTAATCTGACCAACATAGTAAATGGAGCTACTAAATGGTGGACCTGAAATGTGAAACCAGACTCCAGAGTCCATGCTTTGAACCACTATGTTATACTGAACTCAAAACTGTTTTAAGAAGGCATTGTGCATATAGCATCAAGAGGGAAACCTACTCATATTACAAATCTAAGAAGCTGTTTAACTAAATTGCTTCTCTCTTGAAACTTTGTTTTCATACATACAAAATTAAGCTCCTTATCATCAGTGCCTTGGGTTTATAGTGAGAAAATTCTCCAACAACACAGAAAAAAAACTCAGCATTAAATTTTAAGATTAACCAAGTACAGGTTAAGGTCATAATGCGCTTCACAGTATGTGCCCTTTCATGCACATTGGGCCCACACTCTTAATAAATCATTTTATTGCCTGGAATTTGTTTTCTGACATCATTAGCGCTAATGGGTTAATGCATACAAAGCATTTTCCAGGGTGGGCTACATGGAGGGGACTCATTAAATAGCTGAACTATGATCAACACATAATAAAAGTTATCCTCTAACAGGCTTTTAACTTTGCCTAAACAATACAATTCATAGCCTTCACATGTGTTACCTATATAAAGACAACTGGAGTATTGGTACTTCATCATTTACAGGTAACAGCAAATGGAACTAAGAATGATCCTAAAACTCTTATATTCTAGGGAAATTTTTAAAAATTAGATCAAATAGAAACTGTTAGTCATGATAAAATATAAACTACAAACAGTAATTTTTAATATTGACAATGTCACATACTTTTCTTATGTCCATAGATGCTAAAGTACAATAGCATGATATATAAAGATAAATACCAAAAATGGCATATGTTTTATAAGAACCACTTGAAGTAAACAGAAATTACTTGATCGAGTTTTATAGCTAAAGTAAAAAGTTAAATGTTAGACATTTACCTATGGAATTATCTGGTCCTTTTGATTTGGTATATGACAAAAATGCAGCTAGAAAAAAGATAGATGACAAAAGTTCTGCTCTTCCTACAACACCTGTTACCTAGAAAGGGAAGGAGAGGGGTTCATATTAATAAAAAGCATCTTGAAAATTTAACTATAATTGCAACAGCAGTTGAATTAGAAATTAAACTGCCATAACTTTTCAAGTGCACATTTCTGCTTTTTAAGCATTCTTTGAGTGCCCTCATGTGGTGAATTTGTATGTCTTCTATAAAAGTAAATTTATCAGTGACTGTAACAGTTCTTTTATTATTCTGGAGTAATTATAGACTCAGAGGAAGTCGCAAAAATAGTATAGAGAAGTCCTGTTTACCCTTTACCCAGCTTCCTCTAATGGTAACATCTTACACAATTATAGTACACTATCTAGATGTAGTTCTTACATGTTTTCTTAAAATACAAGTGTTCTTAAAATACAAAAATATAATAAACTCAATACATTATAGCTCACAAATAAACCTGCAAACTAAAATTTAAAAAGACAATAAACTTTAAAACATCCTTTTAAATTCAAAAAATTTAAATATAAAGCCCCCAAATCCCTTTAAAGTATTCTGAACTCACTATAAAACTTAAAGCAACCTATTATTTTTGTAGCTGTATAGAAAAATGTTCAGCTAGACACCAAAAGTTTCAAGATACTGGGAGAGATGCACAACTCCCCTCCAACACATACACACACACACACACACACACACACACACACACACACACACACACATATACAGACACAGACACACATACCCTGGCAGAGTTTAAGCATACAGACTCTTGTTTAAAATTGAAAGCTTGTAACAAAGCAACTGAATAGAGTCCTCTTTGCTCTGCTGAGAGGCAATTCTGGAGTCTCAAGATTACCAAGAAAAATACAGTTATAGTTTGTGAATGTGCTGGTGATGAGCATATTGGCAATAGTAGAGACAGCTCACAATTTTTAAACACATGGCAATAGACAATAAGAAATTACTGAGCATCATCTGTTACGATATCTGTCCATGTCTGCATGTATTTTGATAAATTTTCATCCCTTACATAAGTTTCTCTTATTATTTTCTGTCCTTTGAAACAAAAAAAATGCCAAGTTGACAAATATTTAAAATCTTTATTCATATAAAAATTAGCAAAGAAAATTACTGTATTCATTTATATTTTACATCACTAAAGTTGAGTGATTACATCTTATGTTCTTGAATAAATGTTTGTTTCAAAATTTGTTTTAAAAAATTTTACATAGTAGGAAAGTTAGACTCTACACTAATAAGTTAAGACACTGTACCAATAGGAGTCTTCAAATACTTGGATTAAAGTCATGGTTAATTTTTTTTTTTCCTTAAAAATATATACCATTATAGACACGTATAGGAATAATGCAAAAAACATCAATTTATAGTTTTACTTACTGCTTCTGTGTGTATTGGGTGCACTGCAAAAAGTAAAGAAGCAATCACACTACTCCGGTTATCCAGAAAGAGTTTGCAGACTTTAAGAAATATCACACTAACCACAGCATGAAAAATCATATTTAGGAGATGATATGACATAGGTTTCAGTTCACTAAACAAATAATTTAAGCGAAACGTCAATACTGTTAAGGGACGGTAAGACTTGTGGCTTCTCTCCTAAAAGGAAAAAAGAATCATCAATCATTGATTATTAAAGTATCTCGGTCCTTCTGGGTACATGAACTAATCACTGCTTTTACTACATTTGGCTGAGAAATAACAGTAAAATAATGAAATGCCCCAAGAATAATACAAACATAAAAGATAGCTCTATGTGGGTTTTTTTTGTGTTTTCCTATTTCCTTTGTACAAAAACAAGGCAATTTCATCTCTGATATATAGTAGTCAAAGAATTAACAGTAAAAGAAGACCTAACTACTAATTCCTCTTCAATACACAAATTTAAAAAAGTAGGACAACAGTGATATTAATCAAGTTGTAGCATAGGATTTCTCTCCAAAACCAGCTACCCAAACTATTACCAATACAAGCATTCATGTAACTGCTGGCTAGATCTTCAAAAGAAAACATAAGAACAGAATGCTTACCCAGTGCAGTTTAAACAATGATGACTCAAAAAGGTACTGTCTAGTTGTCTTTTGAAACGACACCTCCATAATGTATAAACCTGAATATATTAAACCAAACATACTACACAGAAAGTAATACAAGAGCAAAAACTTTCTTAGAGAATAGATACCTTTGTTATTGCAGTCTCTATTGGCAATAAATCAAATTCTATGTGAGGTACTGAATTTCTTTATAAACTAGAAGTTATATTTAACAAGAAATATTTTTACTCTAAGACAAAATCAAACCAGATTTAAGAATAAAACACACAAGTTAAAAAGATATAAAATATTATCCTATTTATTTTTTGTAATTTTTCTTTAAGATGTTGGGGGTAGGAGTTTATTAATTAATTAATTAATTTTTGCTGTGTTGGGTCTTCGTTTCTGTGCGAGGGCTTTCTCTAGTTGTGGCAAGCAGGGGCCACTCTTCATCACGGTGTGCGGGCCTATCACTATTGCAGCCTCTCTTGTTGCAGAGCACAGGCTCCAGACGCGCAGGCTCAGTAGTTGTGGCTCACAGGCCTAGTTGCTCTGCAGCATGTGGGATCCTCCCAGACCAGGGCTCGAAGCTGTGTCCCCTGCATTAGCAGGCAGATTCTCAACCACTGCGCCACCAGGGAAGCCCTATTCTTGTAATTTTTTATAAAGGCATCCACACTCACCTTCTTTGCTCTCCTACCTCTTACCATATTTTGCTGTAACTCTGGTATATAGCTATAGACTTAAGCCTGCTCATCCCCAATAGGGAACATTAGGAAGCACAAGAAACAAACAGTTCCCATTTTGAAATTAAAAGCATTGTAATAACTCTGTCTGTATTCACTATACACAACATGGGTGCTATCTACCTAGAATGCATTTTCCTGCTTGGCTAATTCCTGTACATCCTTCGAATTTCACCCCAAGCATACAAAATTGTTTTTAAAGGCAATGTATTGAACTGAAATGACTTGTAACAGAAAGCAGAAAAATGTTGTAGAAACCTTTTGGTTTCAAACCTTTCAGGTCAAAATCTAATAACATGATTAAAATCAAAATAGATATTAGCATAAATTGGGGGAATGGACATATTTCTAAGAGTCTCTGGGGATAAAGGGTATGGGTAGAGGGGAATAAATTATCTAGAATATATGTTATAATAGTACCATATTTTCCCCTTGTTATCAAAAGACTTATTTCTTCTAAAGGCTAGAATTCGGTAAGAATAGGAAAGGTTGCAGGAAAATAAATAATCTGCTTATTTAATAAGAAAAAATATTTGTTTGTGACGAGAGGAATGAAAGATTCCATACCCCTCCTTGAGAAGCTTCCAGATTTGGAGAATGCAGAAAGGGGCCAAGAATGACAAATGACAAAAAGTGTTATATGTTATGTTATGTTTATATGTTATGTTAAGTTGTTAGCACATAACAACTATGTGCTATGTACTACAGACAGATTAATTAATCCTCAAGGTATTATTCTTTTATAGATCAGGAAAATGCCTCAGTCATCTAAAAGCTGTGTTCCCACCTATTTCACACAGCTTTTACATGATAGAACTAAAATTAGAATCTATCTATATGATCCCAAGCTAACAAAGATTTAATCCAGTGACCTTCAAAATAAAGTTACTGGCAAAGTAAAAATATCTCCATAAACATGAACTAAACTTTTGGGTTCTCAATATAAAATCAAATTAAATATTAGGTAGGAGATATGGCACAAATTAAAATTTTTAATAAATCATTTTTTCTGCAGAAAAGTAGGCAATATGTATACTTAGCATTTTTACCCTTAAAGTCTAATCTATTTATATTGAAGTTACATATATTTTTAAATGGTTAAATACCACAAGCAGTCATCTCTTCTGCCTGACTCATAAGAGAGAAAAAAGAGAAATAAATTCAGTTAGATTTGTGTTACGCCTACTGTTCTAACACATTTGGTTTTTACACACATATATTATTTTTAAAGAGATTAAGCCAAGGTACACAACCAAGGAAAGAATCAAGTACTATAAAAAATATGATCACATTTTCAACTTCCTATCTAATTTATTACAAACATGTCTCGTACAAAATTTTTGAGGAAAAAAATCCATAATTACTATGATGATGGCAATGCAATGTTGATAAAAAATTAGGAGTACTAAACTCCCGGAATAATTTAAAATCTGAGATACATATAAGTAATATATACTTACTTCAGACATAGGGGTTCCCCAGAAATCATTCTGAAATAAAGTTTTTAAAGGTGTAGATGGATGCAGGTCTTTATTATCCAGTATTGCTGACACATCATCAAAAACAAAACCACAAAAGAGGCTGTTCCAATAGCAAGCAGCAACTACGCCTATTATTAAGGTTACTTCTTTTAGGTTAATATCAGCCATCTTTTCCACAAGCACTTGTGGACAAAATCTGGAAGGGAAAATCATGAAGATAAAATGAAATAAGCAACATTTTTTTCTCTAATAAGTATAGTTTTAATAGAAGAATAAGCAAAATAAAGATAGAATGCTAATTCTCACAGAGAATTAATTCTTTAAAGCTCAGTTCAAATTCCACCCACTTAAGGAGTATTAGCTGACCACCTCTCCATATTCCTAACCTAAGACAGAATTAATTGCTCTTTCATATGTGTTTTCATACCTCTAATACAGCCTTTTATCACATCACTCAATCTTTAAACCTATCTCTTTAGCTAACTAGATAGTGAACTCCTTATCAACTGTCACAGGTCAGGTCACCTGGGAAACAAATATATATAAGATATCTAAAAAAAAACCTGGCATGATGTGCTCCAGCAGTATCTAAATGAATCCTTGTGGGAAAACAAATACATACTTAAAAAGACACTGATCATGGGTTTTCTGAAATGTAAATAAAGCTGTTTAAGTACCTTATGACTATAAAGATCAACTATTACCTAAATCAGGAGTCCAAACTTGTAGCCTGAAGCCCTGTTCAGCTTGATCAAAAGCCTTTTAAAAATATTTGTCTTGCATGCCTTTATGCTAACTGTATACTAGCCAGTTTAACTACTGTTCCTTTATCTTTTACTGGATTGAGTTATTTGATGGACTTATCTTATCTGCTTGGCCCCTGGGGCATAGGAGTAGTTTATGAAACAGATATAAACTATGGTTTTTCTTCTTCCCATTGCAACAAAAGCTTTTAATCTAGAGACAGGTCTTCATACATGACAATTCATAACTAAGTCATTGCTTTAGAAAAGATTCAGTGAGGGAATGTTTATAGAGTAAAAAGAACTATATGAACTGGAGGATACTGGTGAATCAACCCTACTATAAAAATAAGGTTTGAAGGTATACTGTAAAAAAACAAGCTGATGAGATACTTTTCTAGCTTGAGTAGTGTCATTAGTATCACTTTAGTGTTATCACTTGTGGAGGGAAGAATAATGGTCCCCCAAATATGTAAATCATCTGAACCTGTGAATATGTTACCTTACAGAGCAAAAGAAACTTTATAGGTGTGATTAAATTGAGGATTTTGAGATAAGGAAATTATCCTAGATTTTCTTGGGTGGGCCAATTCAATGATAAGAGACCTCACAAATGAATGAGGGAAGCAGGAGACTTGAAAAAGCAGAGGTCAGAGTGATATGATGGCTGCCTGTGGGCCACAAGCTAAGGATTGACAGCAGCCTCTAGAAGCTGGAAAAGACAAAGAAATACATTCTTCATTAGAGCTTCTAAAAGGACCACAGCCCTACTGACATCTCAATTTTAGTCTAGTGAGATCCATTTTGGACTTCTGACTTCCAGAACTGTAAAATAATAAATTTGCTATTTTAAGCTACTACATTTGTGTTAATTTGTTATAGGAGCAATAGGAAATTAATATATCACTCACAGAGCCAGAAGATCTGGAACCAGAGATATATCTGCAGGAATTCTTGTCAGATCAGAGAAGAATAAGGTAGAGACCTTAAACAAGATACGAGCTGTATAAGTGTATATATATATATATATATATATATATATATATATATATATACACATAAACACCTATGGGAAGGTATTGAAGTTTCTTTAGAATGAGACAGAAAAATTTCAGAATACATTAGACTTTTAAAAGAAATGTTAAACTGAAACCAACAAATCAGAAAGGAAATTAGCTGTTCCTTTTGAAGAAGTCTGGTTTTCAATTAACAGAAAAATTACCTAAGAGTTTATCTTGAATCCAGAAGAAATTTAGCATCTCTAAATGGTATGGTCTTGTACACATTATCAAAAAAAAAGTTGATGGTGTGTGTTTAAAGATTGGAGAGATCTGGCTCAACTTCTCAACCACAGTAAAATGACAGTCAATATTTTTTTAAAAAAGGAAGGCTATAAATTCACAAGGATAAAGACAATTGGAGAGGAAACCACAGCACATTTTGGAAGCTGGAAAGGTAAAATGTTTAATAAGTGACTCAATAGAGATCAAGAAAGTGAATTCTTACCTGAAGGGGGAAAAGCTAAAAAGTTTTCTGCACTCCTGCCGGCATCATCTCAAAAACTGATGCCAAGGATCTCAGGAAGTAGGGCTAGGAACAGATGGACCTCCCAGGTGGGGCAGTGGCTAAGAATCTGCCTGCCAATGCAGGGGACATGGGTTTGATCCCTGTTCTGGGAAGATCCCACATGCCACGGAGCAACTAAGCCTATGTGCCACAACTACTGAGGCCTTGTGCTGCAAATACTGAAGCCGGCATGCCTAGAGTCCATGATCCACAAGAGAAGCCACCACAATGAGAAGCCCGTGCACTGCAATGAAGAGTAACCCTCGATACCCTTCTTAGTATAGTTTTAGACCCTCCAGCTATCTTCTACCAATTGAAAACAGAATCTTATAAAATTTTACAACACTGGAAACAAAGAGAGGGTACTAAAAGCTTCCAGAAAGAAATAATGCAGGTTCCATACCAAAGGTTACGAATCCAAATAAATCACTTTTTTTTTTTACCAACAATGTTAGAAGCTGGCGGGGGTGGGGGGGTGGGGGGGTGAAATTCAGAAAACAAAAAGGGAATAATGCTTCAAATTTCTGATGGATAATAATTTCCACCTTAAAATTCTACATTAATAAACCCAAATTTGCCAAGTAGAAAGTAGAATAAAAATACTTTAAAACATTCAAGGTCTCAAAAATGTACCTCTAATGTTTTTCTTCTCAGGAAACTAATAGAAGAGATACCCCAATAACATGAGGAAGTATACTAAGAAACATAAAGATAGGGAAATCAGGAGATAAGGGTTGCTACACAGAACTATAGCCATGCAAGCAGGTCTACTACCCAGGCAACAATGAGATAGGTCAGCACATTCCTGAATGACAGTCCCAAGAGGATATAACTGACAGAACACGTGATGTGTTTAAACACAGCATAAAGAACTATTTTCCCTTTAAACTGTGTGAGTGTAATTGTAATTCAGAAAAACAAAACAAGTCAGGATATCCACCATCGGGTAGTGAAAATCAAGTCTTGTGTATGGGGTCAGAAACCTCTCAGGTTGGGGTGACAAACTACTGTTTGGTTAAATGTTCTCACAAAAAGAAACTTTAAAATTAATAGAGGAAAAATAAGTAAATTAAAACTATGGTTTTAATACTTTGAAATTATATTTGGGAATAAGATATATTTGATTTTTAGAGTACTTATAATGTTTAAGAGTATTTACATACGGCAGACAGCAGAAGCAAGAAGAACTACAATCCTGCAGCCTGTGGAACAAAAACCACATTCACAGAGAGACAGACAAGATGAAAAGGCAGAGGGCTATGTACCAGATGAATGAACAAGATAAAACCCCAGAAAAACAACTAAATGAAAAGGAGATAGGCAACCTTCCAGAAAAAGAATTCAGAATAATGATAGTGAAGAGGATCCAGGACCTCGGAAAAAGAATGGAAGCAAAGATTGAGAAGATGCAAGAAATGTTTCACAAAGGTCTAGAAGAAATAAAGAACAAACAAACAGAGATGAACAATACAATAACTGAAGTGAAAAATGCACTAGAAGGAATCAAAAGCAGAATAACTGAGGCAGAAGAACGGATAAGTGACCTGGAAGACAGAATGGTGGAATTCACTGCTGCAGAACAGAATAAAGAAAAAGGAATGAAAAGAAATGAAGACAGCCTAAGAGACCTCTGGGACATTAAACGCAACAACATTCTCATTATAGGGGTCCCAGAAGGAGAAGAGAGAGAGAAGGGACCTGAGAAAATATTTGAAGAGATTATAGCAGAAGACTTCCCTAACATGGGAAAGGAAATAGCCACCCAAGTCCAGGAAGCGCAGAGAGTCCCAAACAGGATAAACACAAGGAGAAACACACCAAGACACATAGTAATCAAATTGGCAAAAATTAAAGACAAAGAAAAATTATTGAAAGCACCAAGGGAAAAATGATAAATAACATACAAGGGAACTCCCATTAAGGTTAACAGATGATTTCTCAGCAGAAACTTGACAAGCCAGAAGGGAGTGGCATGATATACTTAAAGTGATGAAAGGGGAGTACCTACAACCAAGATTACTCTACCCAGCAAGGATCCCATTCAGATTCGATGGGGAGATCAAAAGCTTTACAGACAAGCAAAAGCTAAGAGAATTCAGCACCACCAAACCAGCTCTACAACAAATGCTAAAGGAACTTCTCTAAGTGGAAAACACAAGAGAAGAAAAGGACCTACAAAAACAAACCCCCCAAAATTAAGAAAATGGTAATAGGAACATACATATCGATAATTACCTTAAATGTGAATGGAGTAAATGCTCCAACCAAAAGACACAGGTTTGCTGAATAGATACAAAAACAAGACCCATATACATGCTGTCTACAAGAGACCCATTTCAGACATAGGGACTCATACAGAATGAAAGTGAGGGGATGGAAAAAGATATTCCATGCTAATGGAAATCCAAAGAAAGCTGGAGTAGCAATACTCATATCAGATAAAATAGACTTTAAAATAAAGAATGTTACAAGAGACAAGGAAGGACACTACGTAATGATCAAGGGATCAATCCAAGAAGAACATTTAACAACTAGAAATATATATGCACCCAACATAGGAGCATCTCAATACATAAGGCAAGTGCTAACAGCTATAAAAGAGGAAATCGACAGTAACACAGTAATAGTGGGGGACTTTAACACCTCACTTACACCAATGGACAGATCATCCAAAATGAAAATAAATAAGGAAACACAAGCTTTAAATGACACAATAGACCAGACAGATTTAATATTTATAGGACATTCCATCCCAAAACAGCAGATTACACTTTCTTCTCAAGTGCGCATGGAACATTCTCCAGGATAGATCACATCTTGGGTCACAAATCAAGCCTCAGTAAATTTAAGAAAATTGAAATCATACCAAGCATCTTTTCTGACCACA